AATACCAGAGCACAGCTGTTAAAGAAAAGGTTTGAAAAACATGGGTCTGGGTTAGAGAACCTTTCAGCATTCAATTCATCATTTTTTTTTTTTTTTTTTTTTTTTTTACTTATGCAAGGTTTGGCTGAGGTGAAGAGGAAATTCTACTTCCAGTTTAACAGTAACAGAGATAACTAATAGTTTGTGTGCTTGTACAGATGTCAAAGGCAAGAGAAATGCAGGGATGATGAAACGCTACAACAGCAGGCTGCTACGCCACTCCGCTGCTACCGCTCGGGATGCTCACCTGCCAGCTGATTCGAGAGGAGAGATTCTCCACAATGATTCTGTGCTCCGTGCGCACTGGTGGTCCATACCTAAGAAAGGGGCAGAGGTTAATTAATTTGACTTAACTGTATCCGAACAAACCGCGTGTGATAACTAGGGATGGGCATTTTAAAAAAATATTGCACTGGAATTTTTGGCCTCATAAAAATCAAATATTTGTTTATTTAAATGACGTTTCATGAGAAAGATGTTATTTTTTTTAAGTTTTTGTCACCGTTTCTGAACAAGCTTACGATTAGGCAATATACACAAGTTTACGTTATATCTTAAGGTTTTCTTTTAGTTGAAAACATTAAACAAAATGTGTAAACAAAAAAATATTAAGAACAAAAGCATTAAGCTCAAGCAGCACAAACAAAACATTATTTTATGTTATGTATTTGTTATTTCACGTTCATGTTGAGAAAAACAATATCCACATTCTCGAGTGAGAAAACACGCTGCGCTGACAGATGTTGCAGAGACACAAAGGTAACGGTCTGCTAAGCGAAGTGTGACAGCACTTTGTGTTTTCTGTTCTTAAATCGGTCTCCCTCAACAAAACTTAAAGGAAGCATTTCTCAATCATATTTTGCTATCTGACAAATTCTCTCAGCTCACTCAGGGTACAGCTGCAGTCGTGAATGCAGTGATAAGCTGTCGACTGCTGTTTGGATTTCATGTGATTTCTCATTGTGGTGGTGATATTATAACTCATTTCCATTAATTAAAAGTAGTTCCATTTTGTAATATGTAGTAAGATCATTTTCATCTAAGTAATTCCAAACTTAAAGCTGACGGCATTGTGATCAAATACAAACAACTTGTTAAGCACGCTCCACAGCGCCACCCAGTGCATTTAATTATAACTGAGTCAGTGCTTGGGATTTATCATGGATTCACTGCATTTACGGCCAGCAAAGCAACGCAATGAAATTCTATAGTATTTTATTTTTCCAATAATAATTGCAGATCGAATATTCGAAAATTCGAATACTCGTGCACACCCCTAGTTTTAACTCTCACATTGCTGGGACATCACACCTGGAACCCCCATTGCGGGACTGGCGATACCCTCCAAATCGTGGAGAGAAACGTCCTCCTCCCATTCCTGGGCCACCACCTCTTCCCCTGCGAGAGCGGGCATGCTCGATAGTCACCCTGAAGATAATGAAAAAGAACAATTAAGGCCAGGAACTGGTTTTATGCATTGGTTGATGATTAGATTGAGGTGTGGACATTGCACTCAAAAGTGGAGGCAGATAAACATGAGCTTGCAGGGGCAGTTTAAACAGACTAAATGATTAGACAAATCAGGCATACATGACCAAAGAGAAGTCTGTAATTTTCACTGGAAGACCACATTACAAAGTAAATGTATTAAAAATGAGACATAACATGAGTTTAGAAAATTGGGCGATCTTCATTTTAAACCAATCACAATAAAGTCTAACATGTACATCTATCTTTCTGGGTTCACTCACCTCTCGCTGCACAGCTCTTTTCCATTCAGCTCATACACTGCGTCATCTGCGTCCCTGTGGTCGTCAAACTCCTGTGGAAATCAGACAGTAGGGGGCAGTGAGACGCATTTCACAACCACCTCACATTAGACCCCCAAGAGTGTCAATACTCACCACAAAGCCAAACCCGTTTTTCAGGTTAATCTCCCTGATTCGTCCGTATCCTTTGAAGAACTTCTCCACATCTCTTTCCCGAGCATGAGGGCTCAGACGGCCGATGAACACGCGACATCCACTCATGTTGATAAAGATTCAAGGAAATCTAGGAATAGAGGATGAAAGGACTGTTAATCAACATTCTGGCAACGTGTACTTAACACTGCAGGAAAGAGCATTTGTGCGCCGCCCTGCTGGTCACACACGGCATAAACACTGGATAATCATTTATAAAAGTCCACGTATAGGAAATTAATAAACCCCCAAAAGCAAGACGACCGATTCGTAAAACGATAAGGTTTTCTGTAACACTAACGTTAGGTCTTTCAACTAATATAAAACAAAAAAACGATTTATTTAACGTTTCTATTTGTTCTGAATTTATACAAATAAGTTACAATATACATCCACTAGAGTACAACAAAAAAAAACAGTGCAGCTATAAATTACTAATACTACTTAAACGTTTATCGATTCTAAAAGATTAGAATAAACAACGAGTAATATGGCGAACACGGATCAGGCGTGCGGCCGAGGCCCAGTCAGCATGCGCAGATAGATTTACTCGATGTTTTAATCGAAAAAACGGACAAAATACCGTTAAAACGAATTCTATGCGCATTTAACTAAACTCAAACAAAATGATTAACTAGCAATGTATCTAAAACAAAAAGTATTTTTAAGAATTCGACTTCGTCCTCTCACCTCTGCTTGCAGGACAAAATGGCGTTGGTCTCGAGACTGAGGAACGCGGCCGCGCGCGGAAGCATTTATATGCGTGTTCACGCGCAGGGGGGAGGGTAATGGGAGGAGATTGCGTGCGTCTCGTGCATGCGTACGTAAACCATAGACTGTAAAGACGTAAACACATTGAAAATGGTAATTTCACGACGTCTTCGTATATACTTATAACAGTTATATCTTTTAATCAAAAGTCCTGGGAGATATTTATTTGCTAGACATTATACTTTTAACATTTTAACGCGATTAAAACGGATTGATCCAGTTTGGAAGTTTCCATGACCTGATTATCTTTAGGCTTCTGCTGAACATATCAAGTCACATGAGAACAATGACTCTCAGGTGTGAATTAATTTAATTAATGCTTAAAAATATTCAGCAATGACAATGCCCCTTCTCCACCCCGTGACAGCAATAACATTCAGGGAAAAGCCTTTTAGTTTCTTTATTCTCTATATTCATCTGTAAATATCTGAAATTTTCCATCACATCAAAACAAGAAGTACTAATTGAGGCTAGAAATGGCATCAGTGGGGAATGCCTACAAAATGGGTCTTTGCTGTATTAAAAGATCTCAGTTGTGGCCTCGGACTAAATTAAACAAAAAAAAGTATCATAAGAATTAGGCTCTACAGGTTGGTAAGATCTTTGACAAAATAACAGTAAACAGAATCATATTTCAAATATAAAATTCAATTTTATAAATACTTCACCAAAAACATATGTCCCATAGATTTGACTCATGGGTGGTGTTTCCACCTACAATGCCATGCAATCCTGAGCGAAAAGGTGGGCTTCTAGAGCAGATTTGCAAAGAGAGAGGCAAAATGGCACAGAAAGATAAAAATAATACTGAGAGATGTATCATTTACTCTGATATGGACCATATAGTCAATGTATACACCTTTTTTAATATTTTTTATAAATAAACACATTTTAATGTTCTTAACTGTAACTGTCGATCTTTCAGCTGACAAAACACTGAAAATCAGCTTTTCTAACAAAATTTGTGGTAAGACATGTATTAAGAAAATTGCTATAGGACCATAAGTCAATCAACCTATTGAACGAACTGCATGTGCATCTGTCTTTAGAGCTTTAGATTTTCATTTGTGAAAAATTAGATATGGCATCTACTAAGGTCTATTCCAAAGCCTGGAGACTGAAAATACCCTACAACCTTTAGTTGTTACCTTCATTTACTGTTGATGCTGGATTACACTTCACTACTTTTAAAATCTGAAGAGATTTTAAAACGCTAGGCATCACAGATTTGTTGATGTTGTAAAAGGTTACGAAGGAAAACTGGCCATTCTAAATGACTGAAGATCACACACTACCAGACTTTCAAGTCTTTCAAAACACGACAAAGTCACTCAGAAACATGTTTGATATCTTCCGACTGGATGGAATCAGTCTGAAGCTAAAAAACTGGAGTCTGTGGCCATCACACACAATGTGATTTTTGGCAACTGCTGTCGACTCCCGACTGAAAATCAGGACAACAATCTGTGCAAAAGTCATGTAGTGAGGTGTGGATGACTCATTTTAACATCAACATCACTCTTTTCAGTCCAGAAAGCACAATAACTTAAGTCAAGAGAAATGACAATTAACACCTTTGCAACACACATTCCCTATCTCTCTTAATCACTCAAATTCAGCCACAACACTGTTGTACATTTGGCCTACTGATACCAGACCTGATGTGCAGACCCCACCCACACGTCCCCCCCCCCCCCCCCCCATCATCACTCTCACAAATGCCCCCTTTGTGTCCTCAACGACAGAAAAACAGGGGTCTTTTGTTTCAGTTGAGTCCAGCATATCAATGGCTTACAGTTATAAGGCTGCAATTTCCAACTGCTGTCAGTGTGTGAGACACGTGATGTCATCGGCCCTTTTATTGTAAATTCATTGAAAACCTTTAACTTAAATATAAAACAAATACAGCCAAAGATATCGAAATAAAATAAACGTAAACCAAAGATGGCATTAGTTTGACATCATATCATTAAATTAAAGCAGATTTATATTACTAAAGTCACTGAGGAAAAAAAGTAAGGTTAGGAATGTAAATTCCTCTGCAGATGACACACTGTTTTATTCTATCACAAAATAGAAAATAATTAAATACACAGCAAACTCGGCTAAATCTAGAGAACACCCAGGTGAGATTAAAAGTCAAAGGGACAAACAGAAATGAATTGACTACGGAAACTTCAGTATTTTTGAAGGGCCTGTAGTGCTGTCACACACCAGCAGGGACAGTCCATCATGTTCACCCATCATTCATAATTATTGTCCTACTTATAAGAGAGAGAACACTAAATGGCAAACACTGTTTTGATTTCCCTAAAATCTCAGTAGAAAATCAAACAATTCTAAAACTTTAAGAGTACCATTGCAAGGTTTTTAAATCCCTGTAGGCTCTACAGAAATAACATGACTTTGATTTCCCCTTTCAGAGACGCCATGAGACGCTATGAGGTCTCCCAGCCCAGCAGGAGGCGCTGTAGCAGCAGGATCAGAGGTTGGAGTGTATGTGTGTTCAAATTAGTGTAAAACTGTGTGTGTATGTGAGATCACACACGGGTGTGTCTGCAGCTGTGTGAGGTTCCAGCGGCTGCCTCTGGGGCAGATGAGGGCTCATCGTCGCTGGAATCGTGTGTGTGGGAGTGTGTGTTCTCCTTCCGAAGGCCCATGCAGATATGGCTCTGGAGCGCGGCAGGCGTGAGCCACTCTTTAGGCAGACAACTCTGCAGAAATGGTATACAGGAGCTGAAATATGCCAATCGATTCACCCAGCGCGGGATCTCTTTCCCACACAGCAACTATAGAGAGAGAGAGAGAGAGAGAGAGAAAATGATGTGAGAATGTAAAAAAAATTACAAGCATATATGTCATCATCAGTCAGTGAGGTTGTATATGGCCTATAGTCAGATCATTTATAAAAGAAAGACAGAAAAAGTCATTAGGGGAGTAAACTGACCTCAGACAGCGAGGATGAAAAATGGTTGCAGTTTTTGTGCATCAGGTGGTAGGCGTTTCCCTTGAACTCCTTTCCCAGCTCCTCCATTATTTTATCAATGTCCTCCTCTGCAAAGTCTGTTGTACCCAGAGCTATAGCCTCTCTGTAGAGAAAACAGGACTTGTGATATGTTTTTTATGGCTCATATGCGTGTGTGTGTGTGTATGTGGTTGTGTAAAACTCACTTGAATTTGAAAGTCTCCCCCAGTTCTGAGGCATTTCCAGGGCTGATCTCAAAAATGCCGCTGAAGGGATATGGATGGCCGCCATATGCAAACTCTAATGGAAACAAAACAGCAAATAATAATGTAGGTTGTGAACATTTTTTTGACTGTCACTTTAGAAGGAATTTTACAAGAACACCATACTTCACTTTAAATTCAGGCTGTCTTGCACATTGGGAGGACCAATGTACTTTGTACAGTACCGGTAATCAATCTAAACTATTAGCAAATAATATCTTTATTTTAAAACATGCAAAAATTCACTCTTATTTGTATGCCTAATATGTCAAAAACAAATATTTCTTGTCTCATCAGATCAAGTTACGTAAATTATTATTCTCCTGGATATTCCTTTTTGTGGTTAAAATTTTCTATCATAAATATTAAATATTTAGCAACTTACATCCTACCTCACAAATGTAAGTGTCATGCTGGAATTCATATGTGGTATCTGTGAACAGTACCTTCTCTGATTTGATTAACCATCTCAATCATTTTGACATTGACGAGCGCAGTTAGACTGCAGAGGCAACCAGCCTAAAGATTGAACTTTTTCTCATCCTAACAACAAACAGAGCAGCATCAAGAATGTCAAATATTGGTGGGAACAAATTTGGCCATTTTGTCCCCCTCAATGTTTATGGTGGTTAAGGCCCTGCTTTAATATCGGCAAGAAATCAAAATGGAGGATTATTGTTTTTTTGTGTGTGTTTTTTTTTAATCGATGCACATCATCTATCCGATCAATTCCTGGTTAACAAAATCAAGTCAAATGTTTTTCTTGTTCGGGAAGCCGTTTGACTTGGATATACATCACATACATATCATACATCTATTGCAATCATCTTTCCCCCCCTATTCTGACATATATCTGTGTATTAATGAGAGGCTAGAGTAAAGATCCCACAAATCATGGCTCAGTCCTCACCCCTCAGAGCTGCCTATGTCTGCTCTGTATCAATGCTGCTAATGTGTGAAAGAGTAAAAAAAAAAAAGGACACTGTGAAAGAAGACAGCATATTCTCTGTTACTTTATGACTCAGATCACTATTGGCAACAGTTTATTTTTTTCTGTTGTGTTCCATCATTCACTACAGACAGACAACAGTCCACTGCCAATTGTAGGTCATGTAAAGTCACTTGCAAACCTTACGCAGGCCTTTAAATGCTAGTGACAAGGCTCAGATCGCAGTGATTGCATTGGTGACCGTTGAATGAACAAAAACATGTACAATAACAAGGAATAGTGATGTATGTGTATATATCACATTACTTAAATGTGGCCACTCCAATTACTACTACTTAAATAAAAAATAAAAAAACTGAAATGATGAATGATATATTCAGTTGCTCATTCAGTTCTAAATTATCTTCACCCTCATGTCATAGTATTTTTTATTTGACACTCTAAATATATCAGTAATGGAACATGTCCACTAATTGTAGTCCCAGTAGCTGAAACAACCCTTTCCACTGTGTGTAATGAAGTTCTTTACAAATGGGACTGAGGTTCCAGTAGAGGTCTAGAGTTTGATGCAAAAAAAAAAAAAAGATTAAATCATTGAATAATCTTAATATGTCACTCTACCTCTGCCGTAGATCTCTATTCCTGAGTGGAAGACTCCAATACCCAGAGTGGAGGTGTATTCATTTATCCAGTACTAAGAGAGCAAGAGGGAGAACGACATCATCATACAATCATGTTTTAATTAACTGTAAATGTCTTTGTTTCTCTATGTCTGGATCTATCTATCTATCTATCTATCTATCTATCTATCTATCTATCTATCTATCTATCTATCTATCTATCTATCTATCTATCTATCTATCTATCTATCTATATTCTGCATCCTGTTAAGTATATACATGGCATTCAAATCAATGAATGGTGCAAAACCCTGACACACACACACACACACACACACACACACAATAAGCTTTAAAGGGTTAGTTCACCCAAAAATGGAATGAAGGGCAGCTGGGGCACCTTTTTGGCCTCACACTCAAAAAGCCCCCTCCCCCCCCGAACCTGCCGGCCCGGAAAGTTAGTAAAAACATCGTTAGTTCACGTAGTGTAGCAGCGCAGTGCTACGTCAGAACGTAGGCTCACTATTGTCCAGCATCACACTCATGACCAGCGTCGGCCAATAGTGAGCCTACATTCTGACGTAGCACTGCGCTGTTACACTACGTGAACTCACTCAGAGGCCCACATAGAAGAAAACGAATAGCTGAATAAAGTCGTTATTTATTTATTTTTGCGCACAAAAAGTATTCTCATCGCTTGATAAACTTAAGGTTCAGCCACTGAAGTCACTTGGAATATTTGAACAGTGTTTTTACTAACTTTCTGGGCCGGCAGGTTTCAATTACAATAGAAGCCTATGGAGGAGTGAGACAGCTCTCAGATTTAATCAAATATATCTTAATTTGTGTTCCAAAGATGAACGGAAGTCTTATGGGGTTGGAACAACATGAGGGTGAGTAATTACTAATTACTCACCCTCATGTAATTACTGACAGAATTTTCATTTTTGGGTGAACTAACTCTTTAAGGGGAAGGGGGGGAGGGGGTGAATATTGAGAGAAAACATGTATGTGTGAGTGTGAGGCCAAAAAGGTGCACCAGCTGCCCTTCATGAATAATAGAACATGCAGAACATGATTTAATGTACACAGAGACTAGTCTATCCCACCCCAGTGTTATATGGTGTGTGTATTTCCAGGGGAATGCATGAATTAACTTATAATACATACTTTTATTTGGATATAGTATTTAGATACGACTTATTAAATGTAAAATAAACGAATAAGTCCATGTGTAGCCTACCCATTAGTCACTTTCTTGATGTTAAAATGTCTGTCTTGTGGTTTTATGACATAATATTGCATAAAATATACAGCATTATAATGACAAGAAGTGTTACTTCATAAATAAACATTTGGATTACCACAATCACTGTTCTGTCTGGTGCAAATGTTTAGATTGTGATGGGGTTACAGCGCCTCCTCGAGCAAGGGAGTAAAAACACACGCGCTCTCATCTATACCGCTGTCAAATATGCTTCACAGTAGGTTTGAAAACGTGCTTTCAAAATTAAACCTCTGTGTTATCGGCCCAGATGCTTCATCACTACACTATATGACCACCATTCCTAAAGTCTTTGTATTGTTTTTTTTTTGTTTTTTTATAAAATGCAAAATTAGAGACCAAAAGGAGCGAGGTTTATGAAAAACAGTGTAACGTTAAATGATGAAATAATGAAAGGGTTAAAGTTCTTACCATGTCATACACATTAAGAATAACGGGCTCATTTGCCATCCTGAGAGAGAAGCGCGCGGTCCCTTAAAATAACGGGCGTTTATTGCTCTCGAGCCCCTCGCGCACCCGGGTTTCGGATCCAAAGAAGATTAAAACACAGCAAAGTCGCTAGTCCAACATCCAAAAGACCAAAACACTACATAAATGACCCACTCTTTTCATTTTATCAATCAGAGAGTCATTCTGTGAGCTGGGCTCGTGGGCCTAGTCGCGTTACTAACCGAGAAACAGCGGCTGCAGAGGTAGGCACGGGCGAGGAAAGGCAACAGGGCATCAGTTTCCATCAATGGTGAATCTAGCCAGAGAAAACAGGCACTTGTGGCCTCTGAGTGCGCAGCGCGCGGACAGTCTCCGGTAAGCGCGAGGGGAAGAGAGCACAGGCACCGAATAAGACCTATTTCACCGGTTTTCAATGATAGACACTAACCAAAAAAAGTCCTGAAAGGGCGCAGATGACATGTGATGCACAATGACTGGCTGTCAGCCAAATCAGCAGTTTGAATTCCCGTTAAGATGACCAATATTCCATATAGAATGTTGCTGTAAAGAAGCGCGCGCTCACGCGTGTTTCGATTGCACGGGTTTTGCCGCTTGCCTGAGCGCTGGGGTCGCAGATGTGATGTCGAAGGGAGCTTGGTGCAGTTCCGACCCCAACAGCCATCAGCGCCGCAGTCCCGGGGTTTATCCTCATGGAGGCCGCGCTGAGCAGCACGGACGCGGTGTGAAAATTCCTAAACACGGTTCATTATATTGATGGTGACATCACTCTAGCCGGGTCGCGAGCGTGAGGAATCTAGTGTGCACTAGAATCAGCGGAGCGTGCGCTTATTACATCATCATCATCACGATCAATACGCAGCGCGTTCATCATCCCCCTCCTCCATCCGCGCAGAGCGTTATATCGGGGCGGGGGCGATGCGTATTCTGATCTCCAAATAACAGTGTTATGTTAAAATGGCATCTGAAGAATATGTTAACTGACATAAACTACAAACTGTAATTTTTTTATTTATTTTTTATGTAATTTTAAAGGAAAACAACGTAAAAATGCTAAATGCTACCTGATCGTTGGATAACTATAACATATTATAAGGTAATATATAAAACAAAAAAATAATTATAATTATATTTTAAAATACAATACATTTTACTGCAAAGAAGTAACTTTTTACTTGTAAAAAGTCTGCATGGCCTTATAATTTACCAAAAAATAAATATGTATTAATCCATATAGATTAAAGTGAAATATTGTTACAAATATGTTTTTGTAGTAAAGAAAAGTATAGAAACACCTAATATTTTATGGATGAATAAGACATATTCCTAGAATTCCTGCAAGCCATTACATTTGTTTAGAGCTATGGTTATTTTTGGTTACAGTTACATTGTGTTTCCATTGTTTACAGTGAATTTAACTATTTTTTTGACAGTGCATTATTACAGGAGCTCATCTAAGCTGATGGTCATTGCTCTCAGAGGGTTTATTAGTGACAGAGAGGGAGATGGTTTAATGCTTACTGTATAACCCATAACATGGTGAGGCTGTCCGTTTTTATAGGTTTAGTATTTGATGATGGTGTTTGAGCAAAATTGCACTGTTAGATTGTATGTGCTTTTGAATCCATGTCCTATTTCTTGTAAAATGTTACCAAGTCTTGTCTAGTAGAGTATAACTGCATTAAGGAATGTGTTAGACATGTTTTAGCCATGCTGATGTAATTTAAATAATGAAACAGCATTACAGAACGGTGTCTTTTTAGGTATGCGTTTGATTATTCAATATTCTAAATACATTAGAAGTAAATGTAAATAAGCCAAATCTTTAAACATGATGCCACCGCTCTTTCTGCTTTAGCCATAATGTAATAAGACTCCAGCAGAGGAAGTACTGCATTATCACTCTCTTTTGTTTCTCTCTCTTAAGTGCATTCAACCACTGCTGCCTTTGAGTGTATTGATTTCTGATGAGGAGTACTACTACACACACAGACACAAACACACACAAACATGCACATACCAGTAGTCATTTGTCAAAGGCATGTGCTTCCGTTCTCAGACAGCAGACAAAGACACAGCAGCAGACAGCCCATCACTCACACATATGATACTGCATGTTATCGTGAGTCAGTTATCTCAATGGGACACAGATGCAGAGCAGTTCTCTGCATTTCATCCATCCCTAACATAAGCAATTGTACCCACTTATTGTCACAGTATCAAAATATTTTGTATCTGCATTCAAGAGTCATGGTAATGGGACTAGGACAAGGGATTAAAATATTTTGACAGCAATATTTTTACTATACTATCACACGCACACAAACACACACTCATTATGTATAATAAGATCTGTAGCATATTGTACACCTGCTCTGACCAATGATAGCTGAGCTTTATAACGACAGTAAAATGTTATATTTAGGCCTATTTATTCATATCTAACTCAAATTATTATATTATAAAGCTATAATTATTATGAAATTTTCTTCTTAAAGGGTTAGTTCAACCAAAATGGAAATTCTGTCATTAATTACTCACCCTCATGTCGTTTAAAACCCGTAAGACTTTCATTCATCTTCGGATGTCCCTCCATTGAGTCTGATTTTTTTTTTACATTTTAATATTTTGTGAATAAAGTGGTAAATTCAGTGGGGTTTTTTTTTTGTCCCTTCACAAAAATGAGGCGTAAAACTTAAAACCGATGTCTTTACTAACTTTGGTGGTTGAAAGTGGTAGTTGAGTAGACTGTCAATGAAGAGACAGAAAGCTCTGATCATTAAAAAAGATCTTCATTTGTGTTCCGAAGATAAACGAAAGTAATTAATGTGAGTAATTAATGACAAAATTTTCATTTTTGGGTGAACTATCCCTTTAAGAAATCAGAATTCCTCTGAAATCTGGAAGGGGGCTGTGAAGACACTTATAGAACTTCTTCTGTATGCGTATTTTGGGATATTACATAAGAACGCTGCATGGAAACGCCAAGATGCTCATACATTCTAAAAATGCGCAATTTTTTTTTTATATAAAAAGACGACATGCGCATAAACTACAAAGGAAACTCCTTTACCAAATAAATCACGTGACTTTGCATCAACAGTGGATGTGATTGGATAACTGGACTAACCAGCAGACGAATTTCATTCACTGCACCTAAAAATGTGATGATTTTGTAAACACATGGGATGGAAACTGCTTTATTCCAAGTTTGCCTTAAATTCGCAGCATTGGATGGAAACAAAAGTGTGATGCGTGTTCTTCGTCAATTAATACATGTGACTGAAGGTCAAAGGGTTAGTTCACCCAAAAATGAAAATTCTGTCAGTAATTACTCACCCTCATGTTGTTCCAACCCCGTAAGACTTTCGTTCATCTTTGGAACACAAATTAAGATATTTTTGATTAAATCTAAGAGCTGGATCACTCCTCCATAGGCTTCTAAGGGATTGAAACTTGCCAGCCCAAAAGTTATTAAAGACATCATTGAAATAGTCCAAGTGACTACAGTGGCTCAATCTTAAATTTATCAAGTGACGAGCATACTTTTTCTGTTGGCCTCGAGTTAGTTCACGTAGTGTAACTGCGCAGCGCTTCTGTGTTGTACGTCACACGTAGGCTCACTATTGGCCAACGCTGGTCATGTGTGTGATGCGCGTGACGTACAACCTAGAAGCGCTGCGCAGTTTCACTACGTGAACTAACTCGAGGCCCACAGAGAAGGAAATTAATAGTTGAATAAAGTCGTTATTTTTGTTTGTTTTTTGCGCACAAAAAGTATTCTCTTGATAAACTTAAGATTGAGCCACTGTAGTCACTTGGACTATTTTAATGATGTCTTTAATAACTTTTGGGTAGGCAAATTTCATTCCCTTAAGAAGCCTATGGAGGAGTGATCCAGCTCTCAGATTTAATCAAAAATATCTTAATTTGTGTTCCGAAGACGAACGAAAGTCTTACGGGGTTGGAACAACATGAGGGTGAGTAATTACTGACAGAGTTTTCATTTTGGGTGAACTATCCCTTCAACTTGTCCCTCCGCAAAAAATGTTCAACAAAAACGTACTATTTCAGACCTTACATCCATCCTCAATAATAACACTTTACCATACGGTTTGCCTTGTTAACATTAGTTAATGCATTTTGTATCATATAACAATGAATTTTTAACGGTAGGCTAATTTTTTTTAAAGAACCCATTAATCTAGGTCAATGTTAATTTATTAACACTTGTAAATTCATTTTCATTCATAATAAATTAATTCTAATTCATAAATCTTAAAATGTAAAAGATGCACTACCTAGCATATGTAGATGTCAGTGTCAATACAATCAATGATTTTGCCGTTTTAATCTTTTATTTGTAAAAAATATTTCAAATACCGAGAAGCAAAAAGTAAATTGTTTTTTCAAACAAATGATTTATTCAATGCTTGATGCATGTGAATCCAACATTATTTAAACTGTGAAACGTGAATGAGCACTTCATACATGGCCTTTACATGTGTTTTTTTTATCCACACAAACCTGCAGAAGATCAGCCATGACAACACAAACACATCTGTCAGTTACAGGACAGATACAGTCAGAAGCAGCACGAGCTGCCGCCCCTAAAACTGCAGACAGGGAGCAGCGCTGAGACCAGCAGCTCAACTTGGCCAGGCACGAGTTGAGGTGAAGAAAAAAAAAATTATGTACAAGACGATTCCAGAAACACAGGCCATATACAACATCAACAATACATCATTTTCATTCTGATTGTGAATTCTAAAGTTCCACCTTTAGTTTTTTATTCCCCTGAAGGAAGAAGAGCAAATACAAGGCCAGCACTGATGGCAAATAAACAAACTGAACGGCTTCACTTCCCACACTACTCCAGCCACTGAAATGCATCCTGCATGTTCCAACATGGATGAGTGAGAAATTAAAGTATTTTTTTTTTTAAAAACTCTCAACCCACATCATGCACGCTTTCGAACATACTCTTGCGCAAGCAGGTACCCGAGAATACCTCAATTAATCTAATCGTACAACCTCAGGCTCATTCAAGCCCTCTCTGGAGGTACAAGACGAATCATTCCACTGTGGGTCTGTCTTCTGCCCAGAAACACAGCTCCACCTCGGCCTAGGTCTCCTGCCTGCGGCCCCTCTGTCTAGTTCGGATTACAGAGATTTCTGCAGCTGTTGATCCAAACACTGTGTTCATCATCCCCGTTCCCTTATTTCACCATGTGATGTCATCAGGCATGCTGGGTATTCTGGTTAAACGCCAATGATTATCACCAAATTAATCGTGAAAATATTTTACAGCTACATGCGTGTCATGATAACATGGCATAAACGATTAAAGAAAATTTGCACTTTCTGCTTCCATTAACTGGGTTTCCATTTTCACTCCCTGGTTATGTTTGGGCGAGTTCAAAGAAAAAAAAAAAGCTTTAGTCTATAAAATGTGATGGGTTAAAACGGGCCCCGGGGCCCCCGGTGGTTCAGCTGAAGGCGTTTGTAAGCGATGAAACCTGCTGTTACTACTGCCAGGGCGACTACAGTATACAATGTCCATGTACCGAAAGCAGATGAAGATTCTCCATCGGCACGAGAGCTTGTGGGGCCGTTCTGCAGAATAGGCTGTAGACGTATACAAACACATGTAAGTGAAGCTGATTGATTGACAGTTCCCAGAGATGTAATCTACAGTACATCACAATTGCGATGGCCAGCAGTACTTACTCGCTGCTGTATGCGAAGATGCACATCCTCCCCTGCAGACCGAAACAGCTCCACTGCTGCACCGTGAGACAGACTGTCCAACTTCTGGCCATTTATCTACACCAAACAATCATGTACTCATCATTTATTGAGCATATATGAAAAATCAACTTTGCTATCAGTGGAATAAATGACATTTTAAAATATATTCAAATAGAAAACAGTTATTTTATATTGAAATAATATTTCACAATATTAACAAATTTTTATTTTAACAAATAAATGCAGCCTTGGTGAGCATAAGAGACCTTTATTAAATCTCACTGACTCCAAACGTTTATATAAAGTTTAATGAACGTTTTTCTTATAAAATGTATCCATTTCTGCTCTGGTGAAGTGGTAGTTTTGATTCACAGTTAAAGGAGTTGTTCACTTTTTAAAAAACTTTTGCTGATAATTTACTCACCCCCATGTCATCCAAGATGTCCATGTCTTTCTTTCTTCAGTCGAAAAGAAATTAATGTTTTTGATGAAAACATTCCAGGATTTTTCTCCATATAATGGACTTCAATGGTAGCCAAACGGTTCAAGGTCTAAATGACCGTTTAGGTTCAGCTTCAAAGGGCTTTAAACGATACCAGACGATGAATAAGGGTCTTATCTAGAGAAACGATCTGTCATTTCAAAAATAAATAAAAAAGTTAAAGTTTTATAGGCACAAATGCTCGCCTTGCGAACTCTCCTGTTAGAACTCGTTCATCAAAATGAACGAATCTTTTTTCGAGTCATTGACTCATTCATCAAAATGAACGAATCTTTTTTCGAGTCACTGACTCGAAAAAAGATTCGTTCATTTTGATGAACGAGTTCGAACAGGAGAGTTCGCAAGGCGAGCATTTGTGCCTATAAAACTTTAACTTTTTTATTTATTTTTGAAATGACCGATCGTTTCGCTAGATAAGACCCTTATTCATAGTCTGGTATCGTTTAAAGCCCTTTGAAGCTGCACTGAAACGGTCATTTAGACCTTGAACCGTTTGGTGCCCAGCAAAGTGCATTATATGGAGAAAAATCCTGGAATGTTTTCATCAAAAACATTAATTTCTTTTCGACTGAAGAAAGAAAGACATGGACATCTTGGATGACATGGGGGTGAGTAAATTATCAGCAAAAGTTTTTTAAAAAGTGAACTAATCCTTTAAGTACAGACATATTAAAAAATTAAGCATGAGTAAAGTATAATGTGTTGAGTTTGTACAGTAAATTACAGTGGTTTTACCGCAATAACTTTATCTCCCTCCTGCAGACGTCCGTCCAGCGCGGCTGCTCCGTCTTCTTTGATTTTTGCCACATAGATTCCGCTGTCATTCATTATATACTGCTGGTCCACTCCACCGACTATATTAAACCCCAGACCTGACAGAGACGGAGAGGATGTTACACACAGCACCAGGTTGGACTACTTACATGATTAATGGTCAGAAGGCCTTAATGTGATTTCTGAAGAAACGGAGATGTTGTACAAACAGACATGATCCCAGCCAGGCATCACTGCTTAAGATACACACATGGAAAACATCACTGTGAAATGCAGTCCTTGCTGTCAGAAACATTTTATATCTATGCTAATGCATAATGTAAGTAATGTTAATCAAAACACTTAAAATTAGTGATCGAAATTATGCAGTAAGCAAAAAAAGTTTAAAAAGTTCCTCTTTGCTCTTTTATGTATTTTAGTAAGAGGTTGATACATACAACTCAAATTTAAAGTTACAACAAAATGAAAAAAGCAACAGATCTTTTACTCTGAATTGTGAAGAACATCCGAGTGAAACCAGATTATCAAAAAACTAAATGAGGGGACTTGTCTATAAATTAGTAGTTGATTGAATTTTGAAATGTGGGTATCACTAAATGATTGGAGAAGTCCGGCATACGTCACCACCAGAGAGAAATCGTGACGTACGTCGGAAGATATGCAATTTTGATTAAACATTACAAGAAAAAAGAAAAAGAAAAAAATACATGGATGATTCATTCCATAAGATCTATAACATGCATTTAAGTAGATAAAGTGAATTTTCAAATTGTAAATGTATTTGATTTATTTACGCAATTTATTTCAGATTTAAAATGTAATTTATTTAAGATAAATCTGAATATGTACGTGTGATGAATATGATGAAAAGGTCAAAATGTAGGATAGTCATACATCAATGCACACTGGTGGACAGTTTTGCACCTAAAATCATGTTAAATAATACTATATCAGATCCAGTCCATGGGTCTAAATCGAATTTAATTAAGATTAATAACATTTTATTTCCAATATTGACAAATGGATTGTTTAAAGGGGTGGGCCTGGTATCAGTTAAACAAACTGACTTGATCAATGGTGTTGATGACGTATGAAGATTATATTATTGTTTTAAAGTCATACCCTTTAATCACAAGTCAAAGTCCAGAGCTATCAGAGCACTCCAGTCCATGACCTCGCAAAGGTCACACACACCAACGCATTATATAAGAGTTTAATCAAAGTCAACAGGCAGCTGAGACTGTCAGCGCTCAGAACCTGCACAAATCCAGACCCACAACACCTGAAACACTTCAATATCAGCCAAACATAGTGTGCCTGAATCTGACAGAAATGTGTCTGTATATGTCGGTCCATATCGCTGACAGTGTATTGTGCTGGTTCTGAACTTTCGCTTTCATAATAACACAAACGTCTCTAAATAAACCCGATCTAGTCGTCTGCAAGAACCCATTCGGGTCCGGATTATCTGTTCTGACTCACGGCGCCTGTTAAATCAGCACTTATTGTTGAAGCGGGCCGAACCAGCAGCACAGAACCGAACCGCCGGACTGAACTCTGTTTCAACAGCTCCGAGAGTGCAGGAGAAGTCGAAGAGAGAGCCAAACTTACCAGCCGGGCCTCTTTTCAGTGTAATATCTGTAACGCTCGCCGCGCTGTGTGCGGATCCGTTCATGATGTCGGAAAAGTTCTACTTTTTATTCCCGAAACAGCTAAAAAGCCTCCTAAAGCGTGCGGAACTCCGCCTGCTTCCTCTCTAATGCTGCCGGGACACGAGCGCACCCGTCACTGCCCCCTAGCGGACACCACCGGAACACTTTCAGAGTGCACTGCAGTGACGGGACGCCTGACTTATCTTGACTTCGGGAGTCGGTTCTTGCAACAGTTCGCCATATTGCATCACATATATGTAAAGAAATCTGTGTAGTACATGCTCTAAAACGTCCCATTTTGTCACATAGACTATTGAAGTTATTGCTTTTTTCGATTAGATGTTTATTGTAATTTTATTAAGCACATTCAACAACAAAATAATTAATTTGCATCTTTTGGCTGAAAAAAAAATACTTGTTTTAAACTATTATAATACACTCAAGTCATACATATTTTCAGTATGTTTTATTTGTAAGATTTGTGCAAGTTTTTCCACACCAGTCAAATGTCCATACAATCAGCGCACTCGACTTGTTTGAAAGAGACAGTTCTCTGTCGAGTGAATCGGTGACCGGTTGACCACTCGTACCGACTCATTCGTGATTTGTGAACAAATCTTTTAGACATTATGGCTGCATCCGAAATCGCATACTTACCTACAGTATAGTAAGGGGAAAACAGTATGTGACTCAAACTATATAGGCGAAAAACAGAATGTGACTAAAGAAGTATGTCTATGGCTGCGTCCAAATCGCATAATTAGGGCCTACCTACTAGTAGGTGAAAAATAGTATGTGACTAAAACTCTATATTAGGCGAAAAACAGTATGTGACTAAAGAAGTGTCTATGGCTGCGTCCGAAATCACATACATCCCTACTATAGTAGGTGAAAACCAGTATGTGACTAAAGAAGTATGTCTATGGCTGCGTCCAAATCGCATACTTAGGGCCTACCTACTAGTAGGTGAAAAATAGTATGTGACTAAAACTCTATAGTAGGTGAAAACCAGTATGTGACTAAAGAAGTATGTCTATGGCTGCTTACGAAATCGCATACTTCCCTACTATATAGTAGGCGAAAAACAGTATGTCACTAAAACTATATAGTAGGTGAAAAACAGTATGTGACTAAAGAAGTATGTCTATGGCTGCGTCCAAATCGCATACTTACCTACTATATACCGGTAGTAGGTGAAAAACAGTATGTGACTAAAACTCTATATTAGGCGAAAAACAGTATGTGACTAAAGAAGTGTCTATGGCTGCGTCCGAAATCACATACATCCCTACTATATAGTAGGTGAAAAACAGTATGTGACTAAAGAAGTATGTCTATGGCTGCATACGAAATCGCATACTTCCCTACTATATAGTAGGCGAAAAACAGTATGTGACTAAAACTATATAGTAGGTGAAAAACAGTATGTGACTAAAGAAGTGTCTATGGCTGCGTCCGAAATCACATACATCCCTACTATATAGTAGGTGAAAAACAGTATGTGACTAAAGAAGTATGTCTATGGCTGCATACGAAATCGCATACTTCCCTACTATATAGTAGGCGAAAAACAGTATGTGACTAAAGAAGTATGTCTATGGCTGCATACGAAATCGCATACTTCCCTACTATATAGTAGGTGAAAAACAGTATGTGACTAAAACTCTATATTAGGCGAAAAACAGTATGTGACTAAAGAAGTGTCTATGGCTGCGTCCGAAATCACATACATCCCTACTATATAGTAGGTGAAAAACAGTATGTGACTAAAGAAGTATGTCTATGGCTGCATACGAAATCGCATACTTCCCTACTATATAGTAGGCGAAAAACAGTATGTGACTAAAACTATATAGTAGGTGAAAAACAGTATGTGACTAAAGAAGTGTCTATGGCTGCGTCCGAAATCACATACATCCCTACTATATAGTAGGTGAAAAACAGTATGTGACTAAAGAAGTATGTCTATGGCTGCATACGAAATCGCATACTTCCCTACTATATAGTAGGCGAAAAACAGTATGTGACTAAAGAAGTATGTCTATGGCTGCATACGAAATCGCATACTTCCCTACTATATAGTAGGCGAAAAACAGTATGTGACTAAAGAAGTATGTCTATGGCTGCATACGAAATCGCATACTTCCCTACTATATAGTAGGTGAAAAACAGTATGTGACTAAAACTCTATATTAGGCGAAAAACAGTATGTGACTAAAGAAGTGTCTATGGCTGCGTCCGAAATCACATACATCCCTACTATATAGTAGGTGAAAAACAGTATGTGACTAAAGAAGTATGTCTATGGCTGCATACGAAATCGCATACTTCCCTACTATATAGTAGGCGAAAAACAGTATGTGACTAAAACTATATAGTAGGTGAAAAACAGTATGTGACTAAAGAAGTGTCTATGGCTGCGTCCGAAATCACATACATCCCTACTATATAGTAGATGAAAAACAGTATGTGACTAAAGAAGTATGTCTATGGCTGCATACGAAATCGCATACTTCCCTACTATATAGTAGGCGAAAAACAGTATGTGACTAAAGAAGTATGTCTATGGCTGCATACGAAATCGCATACTTCCCTACTATATAGTAGGCGAAAAACAGTATGTGACTAAAGAAGTATGTCTATGGCTGCATACGAAATCGCATACTTCCCTACTATATAGTAGGCGAAAAACAGTATGTGACTAAAGAAGTATGTCTATGGCTGCATACGAAATCGCATACTTCCCTACTATATAGTAGGTGAAAAACAGTATGTGACTAAAACTCTATATTAGGCGAAAAACAGTATGTGACTAAAGAAGTGTCTATGGCTGCGTCCGAAATCACATACATCCCTACTATATAGTAGGTGAAAAACAGTATGTGACTAAAGAAGTATGTCTATGGCTGCATACGAAATCGCATACTTCCCTACTATATAGTAGGCGAAAAACAGTATGTGACTAAAACTATATAGTAGGTGAAAAACAGTATGTGACTAAAGAAGTGTCTATGGCTGCGTCCGAAATCACATACATCCCTACTATATAGTAGGTGAAAAACAGTATGTGACTAAAGAAGTATGTCTATGGCTGCATACGAAATCGCATACTTCCCTACTATATAGTAGGCGAAAAACAGTATGTGACTAAAGAAGTATGTCTATGGCTGCATACGAAATCGCATACTTCCCTACTATATAGTAGGCGAAAAACAGTATGTGACTAAAGAAGTATGTCTATGGCTGCATACGAAATCGCATACTTCCCTACTATATAGTAGGTGAAAAACAGTATGTGACTAAAACTCTATATTAGGCGAAAAACAGTATGTGACTAAAGAAGTGTCTATGGCTGCGTCCGAAATCACATACATCCCTACTATATAGTAGGTGAAAAACAGTATGTGACTAAAGAAGTATGTCTATGGCTGCATACGAAATCGCATACTTCCCTACTATATAGTAGGCGGAAAAAAGTATGAGACAAAAGTATGTCTGAATTCCTAAAGTTACTACCAGGAAATGTAATATTCGATCATATGGGCAAATCATGTATGATATCCCACAGACGTCTTCGGTGAAAGTGCCTTTAAAGTTTTTGCACCTTTTTCCTGGTACAGATTGCAGGTTCAGCTAAAATTTGACTATTTACCGACAATGAACCAGTTTAAACGGTTTAAAAGGTTTTGATCCACTTCAAATGTTGACTACTGTATATATAACATACTTTTTTGGCGGTCAAGAAGTAATTAATTACTCAAAATAAGTACCTACTCAAGAGAGTATACCATTTCGGACACAGCCTAGGTGTGTTTGACTTGAAGCGGTGCTGTGCAGACCGATCGGTGTATGACATTGTAAGACTGGAAAAACTGGTTGAAGAGATAGACCTGACCACTGGTCTATGAGACTGTAAGTCCGACTAATTCGATCCAAGGGCGGCATTCAAATTAGCGGTGAAGGTCACATGCGCGTTCCGTCTCTTCCAATGGCAAAGGGATTTTAATTAAATGCAATACATTATCTTATGTATTAACTCGTTTCATCTGACTCCATAAAATGAAAGTGTTTTTCAATGATATCTGTGCATCTTTAAATATACGTTAATGTTTGACTATTGCTTTTAACTCCAATGAGAATAAAGTCAAAGTCTGTTAGAATAATCAAATATAACAATTTATTATGTCAGGTAAATGTATTATAACAATTCCATAATCAATTGAAAGATAATCAATGCAAATCATCAAATGTTTTAGGAATAGAGAAATAGATGCAAACCCAACATTTAAGAACTACATGAGCTATACCTCATGGGCTATCTGAAATACAGAAAAGGCCACGATTCCTTGCTGCATTCCATTAAATAGCCAGAACTTCTTTTCAATGGTAATTTGCATTCAGGTTACACCTTATTTTGGGGGTAGGGGAGAAAGGCCATTTGTCCACCTTTCTTTGTGTGCCAGTTTCTCTAAACTTCTAAAAAACCTTATTACCTTTTGTTTTATACTTTGGGAATGAGACATTTGTACCACTCATTCCTGAGACATTTCAAATGATACCAAACATAATACTCAATGATAATCATTCACATCAAACCATAGATATTCTTATGTGAGTTTTTATGTGTCACTGCGAGCGTGGGGGATGCGGGGAAGAAGTGTGTGTGTGTGTGTGAGAGTTCAAATGTTAATTTGCCAAGGTCCTTTGTCTCATAGACCAGTGGTCTATCTCTTCACCCAGTTTCCAGTTTTCCAGTCTTACAAGACGAAGGACCTTGCTGCAAATTAACATTTGAACTATCTCACACACACACACACACACACACACACACTTCTTCCCCGCATCCCCCACTCTTGCAGAGATCACCCAAACTCACACAAGAATCTATATGGTTTTAATTTGAACAACTATCATACAGTTTTATACATGTGTTTAGTATTATTTGAAATTTCTCAGTGCGACTGGTACAAGTGTCCTATTTCCAAATAAGTCAAACAAAAGCTAATAAGGTTTTTAAGAGTTTAGTGATAACTGGCACACAAAGGAATGTGGTCTCTAGGCATGGTCCTACCCCCAAAAGGTGTAAATTCCTGAATGCAAATTCCCACTGTTAGCAAATGGTCAACTTCTACCCCCAGTAAGTCTAGGGGGGGGGGGGGGTGATCGCAGTACAATTCCACTGTAAACTCATGTTTACATATGAAATGAGGTCTGGCTATATAATGAAATGCAGTGGAAGGATCAGGGCCTTTTTCTGTATATCAGATCGGCCCGTGAATGCTGAGGGTGGCCGAGACTCAGCAGTCATGTATTTCATAATGTCGGGTAAAAGATTTTCCTCTTTGTTCTAGAACATTTGATGGTTTGCATTGATTATCTTTCAATTGATTATGAAATTGTAATAATACATTTACCTGACATAATAAATTGTTATATTTGATTATTCTAACAGACTTTGACTTTATTTTCATTAGAGTTAAAAGGAATAGTCAAACATTCACGTATAATGATGCACAGATATAATTGAAAAACCTTTTCATTTATGGAGTCAGATGAAATAACGAGTTAAAGGGTTAGTTCACCCAAAAATGAAAATTATGTCATTAATGACTCACCCTCATGTCGTTCCAAGCCCGTAAGACCTCCGTTCATCTTCGGAACACAGTTTAAGATATTTTAGATTTAGTCCGAGAGCTTTCTGTCCCTCCATTGAAAATGTACTGTCCTTGTCCAGAAAGGAAATAAAGACATCATCAAAGTAGTCCATGTGACACCAGTGGGTTAGTTAGAATGTTTTGAATCATCGAAAATACATTTTGGTCCAAAAATAACAAAAACTACGACTTTATTCAGCATTGTATTGTATTCCGGTTCTGTTGTCAATCCGCTTCAGTGACGCTGATGACGTAAGACGCTGCTGACGTGTAATCCGGTGCGTCCGTGTATTCGGGTTCAAATAAATATGGCTGGGCAAAAAAATGCAAGTCTTGTCTGTGTCGAAATCCTTAGACGTTTGCGAAGATTGTTTTGTTTACAGCGTCCGTCTCCCTCAGACTGTAAACGAAGCTCGGGCGCACTGATAACACGTCAGCAGCGTCTTACGTCATCAGCGTCACTGAAGCGGATTGACAACAGAACCGGAAGAGAAAACAATGCTGAAAAAAGTCGTAGTTTTTGTCATTTTTGGACCAAAATGTATTTTCGATGCTTCAAAACATTCTAACTAACCCACTAATTTCACATGGAATACTTTGATGATGTCTTTATTTCCTTTCTGGACAAGGACAGTATATCGTACATACATTTTCAATGGAGGGACAGAAATCTCTCGGACTAAATCTAAAATATCTTAAACTGTGTTCCGAAGATGAACGGAGGTCTTACGGGCTTGGAACGACATGAGGGTGAGTCATTAATGACATCATTTTAATTTTTGGGTGAACTAACCCTTTAATACATAAGATAAAATGTATTGCATTTAATTAAAAATCCCTTTGCCATGAGAAAAGACGGAACACGCGTGAGACCTTTACCTCTAATCGAGTACCGCCATTGGATCTAATTAGACGGCCTTACAACATCAAAGTACAGAGAGAGCGATTAGAGAGAAGGCGGCTCTGTTTGCTTTCAAATTGCTCTCTCAGTACTTTGATGTCATACACCGATCGGTCTGCACAGCGCCGCTTCAAGTCAAACACACCTCTTGTTTTGTGAATCAGTTCAATTGAATCATTAAAAAAATTTGATTAAAAAAGAACGATTCAGACGCAACCGTATTGACAATCATCAGAAATCTCACATAGCTTCACCAATGTGTGCAGAAATTGTGCCCTTATTCTTTGAAAAACATGTTATATCATATTTTTATTAATCTTATACTGTATATTTTGATTTCATGTTGGGAGCTCCCAGAAATAGGAAAGAGCATCATGGTCCCTGGAGTCTGGCACATACTATGTTCTGCTTAATATTAGTGTTAATATCAGCGTTTAAAAAAAAAAAATGTTAACATGTAAATAACACTGAGCATTGTTGTCAGATTGACACCAACATGTAATAAGACTGACCATATAAGTGGACAATTGCAAATATTATTTACATGGTGTGTTCAGTAAACCAAAATAAGGTATTCACATTCTCTGTGTCCCAGTTATATTTTTAATCCAAAATAGTATGCATGCTTTCACGCCAACTTTTTGCACAACATTGTGATGGTTCACCTTCAACCTTTCAGTTGTACAAAAGTGGAAAGATGAAGGTCTATATAATGCTGATAATCGTAACATAAATTCAGAAGCTAAAACAGATGCAAATGACAAATGGGTCTATGGTATAAAATACACAATTTTATAACATGACCTGGCAGTGTGCCCCAATACTCACACTGTCACATTACTAAAATGATGCATGTTTCTTTGCCCAGTGAAGTGCATACTTCTACAGCACAGCAAAACTTTGAAGTGTGTAAGTTTTATGTTAAAATACTTTCTCCAGTCTCAGATCAACATGCAGAAAATATAATATGAACAAGCACATTTCAATTGGGGTAATACAGCATTTATTCGAACATAATTACTTTCTTATCTCCTTTATCACAATGCTTTAATTATTATGGTTTTATTCAAAATAATAAACATTTCCCAACATTCATACCAAATAAAAGAATATTCAGCCATTTTGATCTGATGTAATTCAGCACAGTGTCACAGCTCTGGTCTGCAGTTTTCCTGAATTAATGATCGATAACTATAAACATAGCGTGTGAAAGGCTGGGCAATACATGTTTGATTTTTACAAAATTAGTCACGTTCCGGTATACATGCAAAAGGGTAACTAGCATAATGCATTCTGACGGGTCAGAGAATGAGGAAAAACAGACCGTTACGGTGCGATAGACACGCATCAGTGATACCAGTGTCCTCTCAGACGGGTCAAAACTTGCTCTACATCTAAATTTCAATTGTTTAGATCATGTGTTTGACTAATCTGCAATGGAGAGACGGGTAACAGATATATCATTATAACTTTTATTCATTTCTGTTCGTCCCACTTTTTTGGAGATAAAGTACTTTTTAAAGACCAATGACTTAATGTGTCACCTCAACATTGTCAAATGGCTCCCTGTGTTTCAGATCATGCTGGGGGCTGCACTGAACAGAGTAAGGTCTCCCTCTATGTGCAGACGAGTGACATCCTCCATCCCGCCTGTTCTGTGCTCAAACTCCAGCAGATGAACCCCGTCCACAGCCACCTTAAACCCGTCTGTCTCCACCAGGATCTTCAGCTGCACACACAAACACATTAGGGTCATGAACACTGCAGATAAATTCCGTTGTCAATTCACCTTTTAGTGCTCAGTCCTGTTCTGTACACACACAGCTCAGTAACATACCAGTAAGTTCAACTTCTGAAAAACTCAGGTAGTGACAAACCACAGTTAAACAATCATATTCCTACGCAGTGTGTACAGAACCGAACTGAACAACTAGTTGTTACTGACATATTTAAACGCACATCTTCTTTATGTGCGATGTAGGGGTGTAACGGTTCTCAGTAAAAAAATCGAATCCGGCACACATTTGCACCGCAGTTCATCTTAAATCTGACGATGCTGCAGTGACCAAAGACTCGTTGTGTTTAGCGAGTTTAACCAAACCACCGACGACAGAGGCAGAGTTGTGTTTATGTAGGCATCTTTGCAGAGCGCGCCCTTGCAGTGTTGACATGTCCACTTATTATAAGCGTCTTTGGGCTTGTTGATTGGGCTTGGCTCATCCAGTTTATGCAGTTATTAAAATAGACAGGTGCAGGTCGCAATATTTCGGCTGTATTTGTTTGCTGTTTTTTTTTAACAAGATCTGGCAACAAGCAACTTTCCCTGTGGTTTTCTTGCACTGCGCTGGGGGTGTAACAGTTCAAATTTATCACGGTTCGTTATTAATCACGGTTTTAGGGTTACGGTTTCGGCGCGGTGCGGTGTTCAGGGGGAAAAAGGACTACGGTCAAATAACAACAAGGAAATTAAGAACAAATAATCAAACTACAAACAACAGCACAAACAAATACAATAGAGCAAATAATACAAATAAATTAAACTGTGCATTTCAGGTTATTTAGGTATCTAACAGTACAGAAATTGAATAAAGTAATCAATGTAAAACAACATGGCATATAATCTTCACTGGATAAATAAAATAAATATGAATCATTCTTAAAGTTACAGCAGCTATTCAGTCAAGAGCAGAGAGTGATATCCTTGTCTTTTGTTGTTTGATTTACATTATAAACACAGACAGCAGGAATATTAGGCTGCTGTCACTTTAAGAAATAATGCACAGATCCAAAATGACACACATGCATCTTTCTCGGCTATTTACGTTAACTTAACTTGACATAACCTTTTACGTTTGTTAGGATACTCGCCAAGACGGGCATGTTGGCATCATTTTTGTGTGAATTTCAAGCGCAAGACTTGAAAGAGAACTTAATATTTGCTCGCTGTACACACGCTTTCTTCACGTCTTCTTGCGATTAAATGTTTAAATTGGCAAGGTATACATGAGATTATTTTAAACACAGATACCAACATGTGCTGTTCAAGGGTCACCTGCGCTCCCAGGTGATGGCAATGTAAGTGACTGGTCATGTTAGAGAATACGGCACTCACATGGAACAAAGTTTAGGGGAAGCCAGAATGCGTATCCATCGACAGGAACAAACATAAGCCTAACTCTGTCTGTCTGCCTTATGTGTGTTTTTTTTTTTTTTTTTTAACAAACTATATTATAGATGCTTATGCATATCACTTTGGTAAAAAATTGTGGATACCAAACGCAAAATATGCCAGGACTTCGCTATGGTTACCACGGTGTTATAATAGCAATTTCAGGAGCAAGTCATGTTCTGTACAAGGAATGATAATTCAGGGGATTCACTCCCATATTTCAATGCGGTTGTCACTCCTGAAACTGTACAGTGTGTATGTGGCCTATATGGGAACTGAAATCAGGCATGGTTTAAATTCCTTCTCTGAGATAAATCAGAAGGCCGTACCTCAAATTGTCTGCCCTGCACAAAGGGAAAGCCTCCATCTCTCTCCTCGGGACCCCAGCAGCCTCCAAATTCTGTATTCCGTACGATGTTGTTCTCATGGAAACGTGGATTGAAATGGAAGACCACATCATGACCCCTCACAAAATCTACATGGAACCTAAGATAAGAGAAGTGAGTGTTTGGACACGGAGAAGTAATGCTGTGTTTTGTTACATAAATGTGTGTGTTACCTGTTTCCTCCTGGTACTGGCTCACCCACGATAGTGATCAGGAGCCCGGGCATTATCCCTGCATGCAGCGGTAGATCGTACGGCAATGGCTAAAACACACATACACACAAACAGAAGTTATTTGAAGTCCTTAACAGGTTTAATAGGTCTCTACAATAAGAATATATTTAGTTTATCCTTAATCCTTGTTATTGTAGATATTGATATTGCAAATAGAGATGCAAAAAATTAAATATCTGGCATGTTATGGCTGATAACCAATAAAAGGCAGATTAAGTAAAAATTAACCATAAATGCTACAAGTGTACATTATATGCAGCATGCAAACCGGATATTAATTTTGAGATATGCTAAAGATAATTTTTAACAGTGTTATTAATTATTAGTGTTTTCACAGATTAACTTGATTTTAGAAATTAATTGAAATAAGTGTTAGATGACAGCAAAGGTAATCTAAATGAAAAAATAGGGGAAATTAGCACGTATAACTATCCAATAACAACTGATACTATTAAAATGTAAAACAAATAATATCCACCAATAACCATATGGAGATATAATGTGCATTTCTAACTGCAAAGAAAACACCTGCAAGCAGCTACACGTTATGATCTCTATCCTAAAATGAACTCTATATTCCAAAATATGACTGCACAATAAAGATAAGAGACACAAAATTGCAATCTCTTACAAATATACTACAGTTCAAAAGTTTAGGGTCTGTACACATTTTTTTGTTTTTAAAATAAGTCTCTTATGCCTATGAATGCATAAATAAATTTCTCATACATTTATTTGATCAAAAATACAGTATGAACAGTAATATTGTGTAATATTATAATTTAAAATACATTTTTTTTAAAGTATTATTCCTGGAATTCAAAGCTGAATGTTCAGCATCATTACTCGTCTTCAGTGTCACATGATCCTTTGCTGATTTGCTGCTCAAAATGCATTTTTTTTTAGGATTCTTTGATGAATAGAAAGCTCTAAAGAACAGCATTTATTCAAAATAGAAATATTTTGTAACATTAAAATGTTTTACTGTAATTTTTGATCAATTTAATACACCCTTGCTGAATAAAAGAATTTAAATACATCTTACAGACCCCAAAACTTTTAATAAAATTATAATAATTTGTTACATTTATATAGCGCTTTTCTGGGTACTCAAAGCACTTTACATTGAAGGAGGGAATCTCCTCAACCACCACCGATGTCTATTCACCAATAAATTGTGATTAAGTACAAAGAACAAATATGTGCATGATCATTATCTTAAATGTTGGATTAGCCCTATTCCCCTGAGAGCTCAGAGTTTTACACATGAAGTACTTGACAGGTTTCATCTTTAATACATTTACTCATTATGTCTCTAACTTTCTTCTATTCTCCATTATAAAATTCCATGGCTTTTCCATAGTGTGCAAAATAACACGAAGCCCTCCCTGACATTTAACTGGACTGTTCAATTCAACGGAATATTTTTCCAACTTAAAGGAATAGTTCACTTCAAAATGACCCATTGACTTTCATAGTAGAAAAAAAAAAAAATACTATGGAAGTCAATGGGTCCAGTTAACTGTTTGGTTACTGACATTTTTCAAAATATCTTCCTTTGTGTTCAGCAGAAGAAAGAAATTCATACAGGTTTGAAACAACTTGAGGGTGAGTATATGATGACAGAATTTTCATTTTGAAGTGAACCCTTTAAAAAAAAAAAAAAAAAAAAAAAAAAAAAAAATACTCCAAGAGAAGCTAGTTACTCAATGTCATAAAAGCTTATGTATACTAAACAGCAAACACCCAAACAAATCCAAACACAAGTCCCTTTTTTCTCTCTTATTTTAGCTAATGCCACGTCAGAGATCACATGACATCAAGTTTATAAACAACTTTGCTATGGCAACACTGTGACAAATCTCATAAACTGCCAATCCCTGATTCCAAACCCCACCCACTGACTCATTATTCCTTTCAGCGAAAAAAAGTCTGGTCTGATTAAAAACACGCTACCTTTCAAAAGTTGGCATAAGTACGATTTTTTTTATAAAATAAATGTATATTTTTATTCAGCAAAGACACATTAAACTGATCAAAAGTGACATTTAAGACATGTATGATACAAAATATTTCCATTTCCAATAAATGCTATTCTTTTTAACTTTCTATTAATTAAAGAATCCTGAAAAAAATCCTGAAACATTTTCCAAATCAGCATATTAGAATGATATCTGAAAGATCAATTTTAAAATATATTTAAATAGAAAACAGTCATTTTAAATTGTAACAATAATAGTTTTACTGTCTTTTTGATCATAGCCTTGTAAGCATAAGAGATTTCAAAAACACTGACCGCAAACTTTTGAGCTTCTCAGCATCACCTACAATATCTGACAAAAGCTTGCTTTTAACAAACAATAAATTCAGCCCCTTAAAAACCTTTAATTTCAATAACAGACATCTGTTTGTTGTATAAACACAAAGTGCATTATTTATTTTTTCTATTTGTTAAGCAATAACATCATTAAAACATACACCTGTCAATAGTATTAAAATAATCACGAGTGTACTTTGCAGAAAGTGTCTCAGCTACATTAAATATGTGCATTTGTTTGCAAAGGTGATATGCAAGTATATCAGCATGAGTTTGTGCTAAATGTCCAGAACTCTGTTTGGATGTTAACTGGGGTCTTTGTGATGGCTGCAGTGCTGTCCTCCTCCTGTGATTGGCTGAGCGGTTCATTGTGCTCAATAATATGGAGGTCTATATGGTGGCTGAAAAACAAGAAGAGGAGCTTTTGAGATCTGTAGTTTTAACGTGATCCAGAAGAATGAGACCACCGCAGGAACATCCCAGACCTCAAGAGCTAAACCTCCAACCCTGAAAGCAAGACTTATGTCACCAACACTTTGATAAAATAAACTCCAGCAGGCCCGAAAAACAAATCCCCAGCAACCACCAAACCAAGCCAATCCCACACACTTATATGCGGACTCACACATGCAAATCCCTTTATACACTAGGGCTGGGTTGACAATATTCATTTCTCGATTTTAATCGATTCTCATTTTAATGAACCGAAATCTATCCGATTCTGATTCCAGGAAAGCGGCATCACAGAGCGCACGTGAACTGATCATTTCTTCTTCTTTACTACTTATACAGCACAAAATAAACACGAATGAACATCAGATTTGAAAGAAATAGTACACTCAGTGAAATGTAATGGTATAAATGTCTCATGTAATCGCTCAATTTGTGTTTTAACCGACCCCAATACAACGGCTCGTAAAATATGTGACATAATGTTACCTCAGAAAAGGCATTCAATGGAGCCTGTGGCGAGCGGGACGAGGCCGAGGGCCGTGAGGGAGCGGCACGAGGGCGGTGGCGTGATTGATAATGAGTGACACCTGCGCGACGCACCGGTCTCGTGCCGCTCTCTCAAGGCCCTCGGCCTCGTCCTGCTCGCCACAGAGCCGTTAATTTAGCTAAATATATGCACTATATATTACATTTTAATTATATTTTTTACTTAACCTGTTATTCAACATTAATACATTTTGAACAAATCTTTCATGAAAACAAGTTCTTACATCAGCAACCGTTTAAATGTTTATATTTCAAAAATCTAAACTTAATTATCATCAAATAAAAAGTTTATATTATTATAAAAACTTCCTTATGTGCAATTTAAATGTTTGTATACAAATCAGCTGTTAATTTTAACCTTTTATTCAATAGTAATGTACCAACTGACAGGGTTCCCCCGTATAGTTACAGGATTAGTTATCACTTATTTTCAGGGAGAAAAATAACTCTCATGTAACTGTACCTGATATACAGTATATCCTTATGAATTGAGTTAGAAACTGAATTGAATCGCAAGCCTGTGGACTGAAATCGAATCAAATCTCGAAATTTGTGTCAATATCCAGCCCTATTATACACCCATTCATACGGTCATAATTGCTCACCAGCATTCCACCTGGAGCTGCAGGCCCTCCGTATGGTCCCATGGGCCCTGGACCATAGCCTCCTGGTGGGCCAGGTTGAGGAGGGAAGCCCCCTCCATGTGTACCCCAGGACCCTGGTGGTATTGGGGGAAACATTCCTCCTGCATATCCTGGGCCTCCATCTGGTGGAAAGGCACCAGGGCCTCCTGGGCCGTACATGCCAGGCCCAGATGGACCTGGTGGGTAAGGCACATTTGGATATGGGCCCTGTGGAGCCCCAGGTGGGGAAGGGAACTGTCCAGGAACAGGGTATGGCATGGGTGCCCCACCTGGTGGGAACTGACCTGGCATCGAGGGAAACTGTCCTGGAGCTCCAGGGTTGGAGGGGAACTGTCCAGGTACGCCCGGACCTGGAGGATATCCGCCCGGACCTGGAGGGTATCCACCCGGGGCAGCTGGGGCTCCAGGAAACTGGCCCGGGGCTCCTGGGCCGGGTGGAAAGGAACCAGGGGCAGAAGGCCCGCTCTGTGGAAAGCCAGAAGGGGCTGTTGGTTGGCCAGGGCCTCCTGAGGATGGGAAATTAGGGCCACCAGGGGCCGCACCAGGCCATCCAGGATTAGTGGGGGGCGGAGCACCATTTCCAGGAGCTGATGGATTGGTGTGCCTAGTTTTTGATGCTTCACCAGAAACATTATCTGGGATTGCGTCAGCAAGCTACAGAAAGAAGATGCAGGAGATATCACAGCAAATGAAACATCAACGGAACATTTTATCAAAAAAGACTTTTGATCTGTTATTATCGGTGCAAAGCCAAAGACTTACTAGGGCAAACAGTGGAGTTCAAAAGACTGAGACCAGATTGAAGATATGGGACTAAAAACCTAAATTAAACTTGTAAATAAACTTTTAGGACTTTGGAAAAAAACTAAACAAAAACTAAGCAACATTATGATGTAAAATGAATAATGTTTCATATTCTAGGTCAGTAATTAAGCAAATTTGTGACATTAATCATGTGAACTGAAATCATCTCAAATCATGCTGGACAACATGATCATCAGGTTTTGATCTCACTTGTGGAGTTCATGGTGCTTGAATGCTGCTGTCATTAAAGCAGAAAAAAGTGAAACCAGTTTCTATTGTGCATTCTTGTATATATATATATATATATATATATATATATATATAATAATAATAATGCTCAATAGAAACTTTTCCACTAGTGGTCTTAAGCGTTTGGACCCCACTGTATTATATAATACTGTATATTTTGGTATATCTATGACTATCCAGAATTATTGAATATACTTGCTAAATAAAGAATACTAAATTAAATTGATGGGAAATGTAAATAACCAACTCTACTAGTACAGTCATTTCTACTTCTGGTAACATGGATTAAATTACAAAGTTTATTATTTTACTAACACAGGAGGAAATACAAGCCCAAAATGATACAAGTGAACAATTGAATAATTATTCATAAACAGTTAAAAAAACTTACCGAAAAGTCTGCCATGGCCTAACAGAGAAACAAGAAGTGACATTTAATGTCATGCAATTGTATGCAAATCATAATCTGTCAAAAATCTAGCACATGTAAGACAACTAGTTATAAAGACGCTATTAATAGAGAGATACGTCACTGGATTGAACACACTGTCGCAAATGGTTATTTTAAACACTATACATTTAAAAATGATCTGGTTTAAGGTGAAATCAGGCACCATTCTAACTATACGCAAATTAAACTGTGTCATCTATACACATGCGCATTTTGGGTGAAATGTGAGCAGTTCTGTGAGCACAAGCACCTCGACTAGATCAGGGCCTGCGGTCCGAAGATACGGGTTTCTGAGCAGCACCAGGTCCCGTCGCCCGAAAAGATCCGAAAGTCAGTATTACTAAACTCTATACAGGAAGTGAGGTGATAACTGGAATATTGAGGGTTTTCAACAGCGTGTTTGAAAACAATGTGAGCATCAAGTTATATGGATGAGACATTTAACGCTGTAGTTAAAGGCATAGATCAATCTACTCTGTTTATAGATCAGATATGAGCGCTATACACGCGCATGCTCCCCGATGGGCGTGTCATCTGAGGGATGGGCCGGTTTATCTGCGCATGCGTAGGGTTACTGTGACGGAAAGTGGGGAGGGGGGTGTTCAACCCAGGGATGCTTAAAATAAAACAACCATAATAAAATGAATCACACTCCCACAACTGGTTTATAAACTTTTCCGTTTTTTAAAATGTCCTTCCACGAACAGAGCCTGAAAAGGTAAAGATTTTCCAACAACTGGTGAATGTTGATGTGAAGGTTGACAAAATGTTGATTGTCAACCTACAGTGTATGATACAATATTATTTATTTATTTATTTATTTTTGTTACCCTGATCCTAAAATTTGGAACATATCTACAATTTGAACCATATTTGTGTAATATTTCTGTCGCTCAAAAGACAGTTTGGGATTTTTTTTGTATTTTTTTAAAGTTATTGATACATTTACATTTCCCATTAAAAAAACATATTCATTTGATATTTTCTACAATAAATATATGAAATTTAAAAAAGACTCAAATGCTTAAAAAATTAGTGCGAAAACAAAATGTTATATATTCCTGACGAGGGTCCCTGTAGAAATGGGTGTTTCAATCTGTTACATATGGTTTTATATTTTAATATATTAATATATCTTGTATAGTCTATGGGAGAGATAGAAGCATTAATTCGATATATAGTAGTTAGTTAGTTAGCTGTTAGAACAGATAGTAATCCAACCAAATCCTTTAATTTCCCTGTAGGTGCGGAGAGATCTTGTTTTATACAATCTATCTATGGGAGAGATAGAAGCATTAATTCGATAGTTCTTTCCATGAACATCAGTCTGAGTTCATGTCAAAACGCTGCTGTTCTGGAATCAGACAGAGCTCGTCCCTTTATGGGTGAAACGAACTGATCCTGGAACAGTCAGCCACTCAAAGCCTGGTGCGTTCAGGCGTTCTGATTGGTCAAACGAACGTCACGAGACGCCGCACGGTAGAACTCCTGCACTGCTGGGCTCGTGCTGTCTGTGAAAATGGTGAGTACAAAAACTGGCTTGGATTAATAAAAACATTTTAATGGCGGCGTTGTCTTATAGGATGTATAATAATACGGAAGCATTTCCAAATAACGCCGTAGGCCTCAAGGGTCAGTGATATGTGTATGTGAGAGAGGTTGTTGTTTTTTAAGAGCCCTGTTGCAGTTCCACCCAGTGCTTTGTGATGAGCTGCATGTCAGACCCTCTCCTGCATTACACCGACTTATAAAGTTTACCAAAATAAAGGCGCGTTTGGCGTTACATTTACCCTAAAACTCTGTTTAGAATTTTCACGAGATAGGATTGCCTTACATAATAGTGATATGATGGAATTCCGGCGGCTCCGGGGGAATTCTCATTTCCTGTTGCGGGCAGGGACGTGCTCTGCTCACACTACAGTATTTCAAGGAAATGTTGGAAAATCTGCTGTGCTGAGCGACAAAGAGACGGTGTGGCTCCTTTTCTTGGAATGGCACGTCAATTGAAGTCACGATCAGACGATGTAATTTAATCAGAGCAGAAATGGCAAACAATGCAATGAAATAGATTCTTCACATTCCAACAGCACTGCACGACAAACACGTTTGCCCACTTCGTCCGCCACATCAACAGCTAAGAAAGTGATTGTTGTTCTCCTCCTGATGACCCACACCCAATGTCATCATAATGCAGGAGTTTTGTGAACTCCTAATCTTTGAAGACCCCATACAGCTGGATGTTGTTGTGTGTTAAGAGTATACAGGTGGTTTTATTGTTAATATAGCATTATATTGAACTGATATGAATTAGAGTTTGTTAACAGAATAACAATTTCACAATCAGAAGAAATACATAGTAGTTTCCACTCTCTCTGCTTTCAGTCTGGTTATTTCTTACTATAGGTCAGTGGTTCTCAACCTTTTTGACTCCAAGGCACTCCTTTGTCAAATACAATATTAGTCAGTATAAAGTCAGTTTAATATTGTACGTCTTTATTTTTAGCATTTTAATTTAGATTGTTAATTTTAACACTTATTGGAGCTTACCACTTCTATTTGATATAGTTTAATTGACAAACTCAACCCTGTGTGTGTCCCTAACCTGTATGATTCAGTCATATTCAAAGAGATTACCAGTAATTGGGAGTTTTTCAGGTTGATTAATTATTATTAATTATATTATGAATTATTATTTATACACTACTAGTCAAAAGTTTGGACTTGCTTGTCTAAGCCAACCGACAAGACGAGAGGAAAACCAGCCTTGAATGTGGTCGCTGGATACACCTAATGAACTATGGTTATGATATGACTGAGAGTGTGCTGAGCTGTGATTTAGACAAAGGATGGCTATTTCAAAGAAACCAAAATATAAATTAGATTTACATTTAATCATTCTGCAGATGGTTTTATCCGAAGCGACTGAAAATGAGGAGAACATTAGAAGCAATCAAACCAACAATTGGGGAACAATATGCAAGTGCTGTGACTAGTCCCTTGTTAGTCTAACAACAGTAGCAACGACAACTAAAATCAAATGAGAAAAGAAACAAGTACACTTACACACTGCTGTCCACTTCTGGTGCTTGACCACTTCTCCTAAATGTATAAATATTTTTTGTATTGTTTTTGGTCTATATAATTCATATACTTCAAATATTGTATAATTGTATAACGTATCATTACTCTGTAACACGGACACCTTAAAATAAAATGTAACCGCTGATAGATTTTATAATATTTTAAAATGTGAAAAAATAGTAATAAGAAAAATGTGTGTGTGCAGAGTGAGTCTTTAGTTGTGTGTGAGGTGGACGAAGACCTGGTGAAAAAGTTGCGCGATTTCCGCTTCAGGAAGGAAACCAATAATGCTGCCATCATCAGTGAGTTGAACTTAAATGAAACACTCAAACTGGTCCACATGGTCACACTTTCTCATATACCATGAGGATTGAATGTTGATATTGCTGTATTCTCCTCTTGTTACAGTGAAGATTGATAAAGACAAACAGCTGGTGATTCTGGAGGAGGAGCATGAGGTAAATTCACACACACATCTCATCATAACCACTGTTATTGCATGAATGCATAATAGACGGCTTTGCAGGGGAGATTACAATTAAACAGCTCAGTGGTGTAAACCTGGCTTTGATTTCTTGTAGGATATTTCCCCTGAAGATCTGAAGAACGAGCTACCAGAGAGACAGCCCAGATATCCTTAACTAAAACAAAGTCACTTTGTACTCTGCCATGATTTAAACTCTAGTAACTTTTGGGACTTTCAAGAAATGTTCTATTTTCCATTCAACATTGAACAATCATTAGTTTCCCTAACCTGTGACACATTTGTAGTCTACAGCTATAAGTACCAGCACGATGATGGGAGAGTGTCCTACCCTCTGTGTTTCATCTTCTCCAGTCCTGTTGGTAAAAAAAATCTGTTAAAAAATGAACAATTCAATATGCACAAACTCTATGAGGCAGTGCTATGTCTCCAATTCTCTAAAATGAAACACACTTTCCCAGGATGCAAACCTGAGCAGCAGATGATGTATGCTGGCAGCAAAAACAAACTGGTACAGACGGTTGAACTAACCAAGGTGAAACACTTGACCTTACACCCATTTATGTTCTTTCTTTAAAGCAGTGTAGTGGTAATGGCTTCTAAATATATATATTTTTCAGGTGTTTGAGATAAGGAACACTGAAGACCTGACAGAGGAGTGGCTAAGAGAGAAACTGGGCTTCTTCCGCTAAGAACAGACCGAACAAGCTACAACTCATGTTTAAAGAGTAACCGAGATGGGACCATCACCTCCAAATGGAGAGAATACCATAGTCCATCTGATACTGTCTGTTTGTGTATGTTTGAATGCTTCTGCCCAAACTCTAAACCCGCCTGTACCAGTTTAAGATGACAGATATTTGAGGTGCAAAGACAAGAAAAGAAAATATGAAAGCAAATTCCACAAGTACTCTGAACTATTCCTTGGATTTTTAGAACCATTCCACACTCATCCCTGAGCAGTAAAGTATGTACTGGCCTGCACAGGTAATCCAATCTTACTGCCATGATAGTTGGGTCATGTTGTGATTTTATGCAATCCCATGTCAGCTATCCTTCTTGATCGATGGCAACAGATTTAAACATTCTAAAACTCTAACATGTGATGTGTTTTCCCAGTTATGTCTTCATGTAATGCCCTGATATTACAAGGGCCTTCGTAATGCATTTTCTACCTCTAATTTGGAGTATTTTTGACCAAACATGAATTATTTTGTTTTGATATCTGTTGAACTGTAATGGTAGGCGAAGGGTTCAGAAGTCGGGAGAAGTTGGGAGAGAGCATTTGATTATCGTATCTGACCTGTTGTCTTGAGTGTCATAAATTTATTCTGTTTTGCCTTTTTAAATCTGTGCTCACAACCTGACAAACAAATCTCCACTAAAGATCTAGAATCTGTGAGGACAATTGGGTGAGAGTTCTGGGACACATTTTTATTGATTTATTGTTTTTGGGAAAGGGGGTAAGGTGTACATCACCCAGACAATCTGTCCCACCTTTTTGGAAATGTGTAGTTGTAGATGTACAGTGGCAGGGGTTTGCTATGCTATGGTGTTATTCGGCCACTGGCATCATCTCCTAATGAATTCCTCTTTCTCTTTGTCCAGCTAAACACTGGAATAAAGCCGGTGTCACTATTCTTGGGTTTTTGCAAAGCATTGTTATTTCCATATTTATGTAAAAACAATCATTCTATTGGCAAAATGTAAACACTGGAAATTAATGAAATGTTTACAGCTTAACAGAGTAATACAAATAGTTGGAGGAAGTTATATTGTGGTTTCGATTAGTCTGCAAAACTCCTCTGCAGAATCTGTGAGCTCTAATGTGGGTCAGGCTCATCTCTGTACATCTGTAGAACCTGTAACACCCGTGATTAGTGCTGTTTCCTATTAAACACTGATTGCTCACTTTGGTGGTTTATATGATGTGGACATCACATGATATGTCCCATACATACAGTGAACTGTGTATGTGTTTAATGTAAATTTTTTAATGACTGAAGATGCTTTTCCTGCTCATTTATAATCTCTTCAAACCAGAAAAACAGTTAACCTTTCAATATGTGTCTCAATTACATTTGTCTGCTGTTTTGAACAATTAAATAGAAGGTTTTTTCCTTTGAAAATTTGACCATGTATTTAACTGGAGTGTTCTTGATTGTATTCATACCTTTATTTTTAAACTTCTTAGTTTTGCATCATGTGTGTTCATGTCATGGTAGTGTTTTTCAGTCATTTGTAGTAAGCAAAGGGTGAAATAATGTCATATAAAAAATAACTAAATGTAATCTTGAGGTATTATGTTAAATTTGAGTATCTTACTGGTTTTAGCAAAGTTTACTGGTTGATGTTGCTTGTAAGTGGATGATATTATTCTGATCTGAATAATGGCCATTACTTTTTAGGAGTGCAATGAAGACTTACCTATCCAGATGTTCAGTCGGCATGGGAAGGAAGTATCTGCCAAGAGAGTAAATGTAATTCCATTAGACAAATACAAGGTGATTTATCCATGCCCATTACCATGGCAAGTCAATTCTATATTCAATGACCAAATGGGTTTGCATTAGTAAAACAGTACTAGGTTAATTGCACAAAGCATTAGAAAATTCTACCCACAGTTGTTTTTATGTGGTTTTGATTTAATCTGTCTGGTTGGGCGTTATTGATCTAGTTCCTAACAAACATGCATCACCTGACTATGATACATTGTCATCGACTCATTTCATCTTGCCCCAGGAAGTAAAAAAAATCCATAAGAGTATGTCTTGTTTGTTTGCAGATAGATGGCTTTACATTTCCATAACATATCTCAGGGAATAATTCCTCTTTATTTTTCAAATTACCAACCACGACTATAGTAGCCTAGGCTAACATTAATGTTGTAATATTCCGCACAACACACAGTATAGAAGACTTCTGCAACTTCTTACGAAAAGATGAAAGGTTTTAAGAGATTTGTATAATGTCAGTCACAGCGATGGCATTCAGCAGGATCGCTTTTTTCAGGCCAGGTGGATTATATATTGCATATTTTCTATGGGATGGGTCAAATAGATGCGAGTTTACAGGCAAAACAAGGAGAAATGCAAGAAGATCTCTTTGGTTTAGCAATTGTGTTTCCATATTAAAGCAGTTCAATCTCACATCACTTTCACGGCAACATGTAAAATATTCTCATATAGGCTCTTCAAACTTTTATGTTCGTGATTCATATTTGTCAGTATTTTATAGGCCCTAAAGTCTGTGTTAATGTTAATGTTATTAATTCATTCAGCATATTTTATTAATATTGTTATATTTATTTATCAGTAGGCCTATGAATCTTTGTCTCTTAGCCTTTTTAAAATAAGCATTAATCAGGTTTCCCCTGCTCTCGCGTTTTTTCGAGTATCCATGTGAATTCTCCAGTCACGTGACGTACAGCTGTCGCAACGTCACAGCAGTCGTCGGTCTGGATAATTCCACATGAGCGAAAAATGGCGTTCACATTCGCGGCCTTTTGTTATATGTTGGCGCTTCTGCTGACGGCGGCGCTCATTTTCTTCGCTATTTGGCATGTAAGTGGTTTGAATAGAACTCCAACACATTCGCTAAGGGTTTTAACTCAGATACTCAGTGGATAGTGGCATTAGTTCAACATAGAGCAGAGCGCGAGACAAACGCGAATGAATGGCACGAGCGAAACCTGGTGACACCCATTATTATCATTACCGCTAATCTTCCGTTAAACAATTAGGGTATTTCTATGTATTTAAACGTATTATCTACGGGGTTAGCCACATTTTGTTCACGCTTTGTTTACTAGTTTCTGTCGCATCAAAAACTGGTGATCACGGGCGGATGGGACGCGCGCTCCCGTTTGGCTCTCGTGCATGTGTTTACAGATCAGTAATAAATCAGAACTGTGTACAACAATGTATTGCATATAATGTGTGTATATATATATATAATTATTATTATTTTATATATATATATTTATTATACATATGGCAAAAGGCTAATAAATAACTAAAACAGTGCAGTGAAGTCTGTCATAAGTACATCTCATTTTTGGGCCTTTGCATGTTAGAATTAGAGCTGTAATGTTTTTCAGAGAATTTTGTGAGTTATTTGCGGACAGAACAGCACCATTGTTCTGATCTCCTCGTGTCATTAACCTGTTTTTCAGAGATACAAAAACTTTCAGTGCAGAACTAGTATCACATTTCTGCCTTTGCTCAAAAATGCCAAATACATTGAACAGTGACTGGAATATATATATATGTGTATTTTTTTCATCCCTTTCTCCCCCAAGAGTTAAATAAGGGGACGTGTGAATTTCATACAATAATATTACTTTTTAGTAATGGATTAAATTTGTCATTACCAATTTTCATGAGTAAACAATTATAACCTTAATTTGATTCAGGCATACAGGATAATACACAGCATAATTAGTCGAAAAGACATAACACTTGAGGATTACAGGTCAGGCAAAACAAAAAGAAACTGAAAAGCATAAAGATCTCTGACTCTGCAATTGTGCATCTCTGTATTAAAGCAGTTTAAACTCGCATAATTTCTCTTGCAACACAAATCTCATGAAATATTAAGCTCATTAAGCTTTTGTTTGTCAGTATTTTATAGTCCGTTTGTAAATTAATTGTTTTAAATGATTCATTCATTCAGCACAAGAATATTTCTGAATGTTTAGAAAACTTTGTAAGTGTTGTTCTGAAAGAATAACACATTCCTGACATATGGTGATGTTGAAAATGATGTTTGTATGTTTACTCCTGGATCATGTGCTTAACTTCTTTTTTTTCCCCGTTTTACTTTTAGATAATTGCATTCGATGAGCTGAAGACTGACTATAAGAATCCTATAGACCAATGTAACACATTAAATCCGGTAAGTGAGTTTTTGGAGAGATGCCGGGTGATGCATGCACTCCTGTTTCTTCTCTTCTATCACAACACTGTTCTGCTAATCGATGAAATCATCCGCAGTGAATGTTGCTTTCCAACACTAACACTACTATCGTTTGATTTTCTGATTTGCATTTTGTGCTATTTATTTTCTTAATATTTACTTTTTACCTTTTTTCCTCTGATTGGCTCAAAGACAGTTGACAGGGTGAAAAAAATTAAAAGGGTCAGGCTTGCTCTGAAGGTTGGTACCAGAATTCAGCTTAAGATCAGTAACAGTCTCTCTGTCTGCACGAGCGGAGTGTTTACAAATGTCTTTTCAGTTAACTAACACCTCGATGTACAAACATGCCAAGCAGGGAGACAGGACCTGGTTTATGCCAACTGAACAGCTTGATTACAGAGGTTGTCTCGTCTTGCAAATGCCATTACATATGCTGAATGAACAAAACGCATTGCTCCTTTAGGGTTGCTTATATCTCACTCATGTTTGGGTGGTTTAGTCCGTTAGTGTGGGGTTGGGTGGAGGCACAGATGTCTGCGCAGGTGTATACTTGAGTGTAGGAAAGACAGTGGTTTACAGGGAAAAGTGTTAACTGAAAAGACTTGCAAATGCTCAGAACATGCATGTGCCGTTCTGTCCCCCCCTCCTTCGTTTGCTCTTTACCCAGAGCGACTAACTCCATTTATGATGTCTCACTTGGAAAGTGTTCTTATAAACTTGGCACCGCTGTAAAGCAATTGCACTGTTAAGTTAATGCAGGAGAAGTCATTATTTCAAGTACACTTGAGATTAATGATGGATGGGAAGGAAGAGCGGGTGTAGTGAGCATCTTTGGTGCACATTAATCTAGAGTTGAGGAATGGTAATAGTATACCTTAGAATCGACTCAGAGTTAGTATTTCTGGCTGGATGTGTCCGATCACTCTCAGAAGGATATGCTTAATGGGTTTTGAGGCAATTTTACTTCATAATCACCATCAACAGTTTGAATTAAAAAAAATGTTTACTATGTGTTTGTGTTGGGCGAAAGCAGAACACATACTTTTTCTCTTTTGCATGGGCTTCATTGTGTTGTCTTCATTTACCGGTTATGATCAGGCATGGCAGGGGCAGCCTGGGGTCCTTGTAGCTTCTCCCTTCCTCAGCATGGCTGCTCTTCTCACTCTGCCTGGCATTGTTTCCCTGTAAAAAACACAATCTGTTCCCATACCTTTGTATGTGGGATGGGGGTGTAGTAAATGTGACATGTCTTTTTTTTTTTTTTTAATACAGTAATTTGGTAATGGCCAGATGTTCTATTTGCCTAATAAGAGAAACTCTCCACTCTATATTTGACAAAATCTAAAGCAGATGGGGTATAGTATATTCTTTACAAACCTCAACAGCTTTGGGATATAATAGATAACCTGTTTCAGAGGTTATTGAGTAGGAATAGGTGTTCTGGTTTGTTTAAATTTTGAACTTGAGGAGGTCATAAGTTCTTAAATGGATCAAAGGTCTTTGAATTCTAAGCTCTTGAATTCTTCACATACTATTTGCATAGGGATTTTAATTTTTTTATTTTGCAGTCTATGCTACGTAATTTAAAGTCACTTGTTAAATGTAAATATTTTATTTATCATTGCTTTAAATAATGATTTGACAGTTAATTCTCAGCAGATCTGGGTCTTCTGAGGTTTAGAGAGATTTAGATGTGCATAGATTACCAAGTACTAGAGCTCATGGGTTGGTGGTAATCCTAATGAATCTTACACCTGATTGGCTAGATTTGGGCACAGTTCAGGCGCAATAGAACTCTGTCTCTGAGATGGATTTTTGTATGTTTTCTGATCATGTGTTGTGTGGTTTCCTTAGCTCGTCTTGCCGGAGTACCTCATCCATGTGTTTTTCTGCGTAATGTTCCTGTGCGCCGCAGAATGGCTGACGCTTGGACTCAACATGCCCCTGCTGGCCTATCACGTCTGGAGGTGGGTGGGGCATTCAGCCCCAAACCAATCACAGATAAACACTTGCTGGATATATATATATCAAACATCTAAGCAGATGTGTCAAGCTAGTGTCTTTAAAGTTAATAAATTATTAGTCAGCATTGTGTCTTGCTCAAAGTGCAACATTAAGTGTTTGTTTGTGTGCAGGTATATGAGCCGCCCTGTGATGAGTGGACCTGGATTGTATGACCCCACTACGATAATGAACGCAGATATTTTGGCGTACTGTCAGAAGGAGGGCTGGTGCAAACTTGCATTCTACCTCCTCTCGTTTTTCTACTATCTTTACGGGTATGTACAGTTAAATTGTTTATCAAATATATAGAAACATTTTTAAAAAATTATCTATATATAATTGTTTTATCTTTTTTATCTTATATACGGTACACTACAGTTCAAACGTTTAAAAAAAAAAAAGAGAAATTAATACTTTTATTCAGCCAGGACACATTACATTGATCAAAAGTGTCCATAAATAAATTTATAATGTTATAAAAGATATCTCTTTCTAACTTTCTAATCAAAGAATCCTCAAAATAAATATATATATGTCCACAAATATATTAAGCACCATATTATTGAGCCATTTTCATCATTGATAATATTTAAAAAAAATGCTACTTGAGCGGCAAATCAGCATATTAGAATGATTTCTGAAGGATAATGTAACACTGGAGTAAATTCAGCTTTGACATCTCAGGAATAAATTTCAATTTAAAATATTTTATTTAAAAAAAGAAAGAAATTTGTAATATTTTTTGTTTTTGCTGTTTTTTGAACACATGACACTTCATCTTTAATCTTTCTATCACTGTGCTTATGTTTCTCTGGTCTTTTTATTATAGGATGATCTATGTTTTGGTGAGCTCTTAATCTGGATACAGCTGCAAAGTGTGTATGAAGGCGTTTGAGATGCTGATTTTAAAACCCAAATGGAGCTTGGACTCGAACATCTCTCTCAGTTCTGCTTGGCTGTTTCAAATGGACATTGACTTTATTTACTCCTCATCAGCCAAGAACGAGTCAGGACGCAAGCAGCCGCACAACTCCAGAACCACACATGCAAAAATAAATGATTACCAACTACAACCTTTTTAGACCTATAAACGCATGCCGCACCAATGCCAAACCTCTTCACACACTGAAAGCATCAGTAGATGAGATAAAACGGTTTACATTGACCAGATCATGTCCAAAGCAGATGCGCAAGGGCTTCAAAACTAAATTGCTGATGGATATGCGCAGAGATTTTACTCTTGTGTTTTCAAACTGTGGGGCAAAATAAAGATCTTGATTGTAGCATTTTTACAGACTTGTTTTATTTGAACTATATTACTGCCTTGTTGCTCAGTCAGTTCTTTAATTTGACCTTCAGAGTTGTGTGCTGCTTTGGTAATTCTTGATCTTGTAATACCATGTTTTTGAGCTCAGGCTGGTGGTCGTCTTCACGTTGATGGTTCTTATCAGATGAATGCTCCATTTCAAGTGTTAAAACCATTGTTTTTCTGTCATGCTGGAACTAAGCAAACTGATGCTTTCAGTGTATCGAAGGCTTTGCTTCACTCATACATCCTGGAAATACTCTACATGTAACCTTTTTTGCTTTTAAATTTTGTTGTGTGCATTTTGTATTTCTAAGTGGAATTGTTTTTTGATTTTATTTTTGTGAGATAGCAGAGATGACTGTGAACAATATTTTGGACACTGGCTTGATGTTGGCATGATCTCAGTGTGCCAAGATTTTTTTTCCCCGTCAGTAATCACAGGCAATCTTCAGTCCTTCAGTGATGCTGTAGTTTGTGTCTGGATTCAGAGCAGAGCTGTGTGGAAGGATCCTTGACTATACTGACAGTCAATGCAGCTGTTTCTAATCACCAAGCTGGACCACCAAGGTGATATTTTAGAGTAATAGGTTATTTTGGATTTTCCCTGTGATTGTTTTAGAATTTTTTCGTTTGCCTTTTTTGTGTGTGAGTGAATCCAGCTTGATATGTGCGTTTGAATGTTATAAAGTCTTGCAAGAGCTGTAGTAAATTGTGATGTATTTTTTTTTTGCTTGTAATATTGCTATAAAGTTCTCCATACATTAACTCATGGCTCATTTTATGATGCCGTTTTCTCTGTATGAACTCCTGTTTATTCCTTTTGGCTACAATAACGTGAAACTAGGGTTAGAATAGTTTTAGGAAAAAAAGCAAAAAAAAAAAAAGTTTTCAACAATATAATTGCTTTTTTTTAATCAGAAAAAAATAAATAAAACCATGATACTGCATTGCACAAGCTATATTAAAGTGATCATGTGACAAACCTGAAAGGTTTATAATCCTCATTAGTGCCTTAAATTGTAGCACTTGGACTGCATTGATTGTGATTATTAGCGTATCTCTGATCAATGTAAAGGCATTGGTACTTGTTACCTTGGTTAACTTCTCCAGTAATGGTTACAAACTTAATATATCCCCTTACCAATGGCCACTTTGGTATGAAAGAATTGCCAAGAAGTATTGCCAACAACTGCATAATGAATTTAATCTGCCATTCAAATCACTGTCACTCACATAAGGAATATATTGTTTCCCAGACACAAAAATTAGCACCACTCTCAATTTGATCCACTAGTGGCCAGGATGAATGCAGACAACATCTTATTTAGGCCACTTAAGACCACATTTAAGTGAACAAGGCTCATTTAATTGCAAAGTTAACATTATATATTAAGCACACTATTATTAGATCAACTTATAAAAGTACAGAATTTTTAAAGTGTCATCATCAGAATATAAACAAATGCACTCATGATCAAGGTAGAGAAATAGAGCAAAACAACCAATCAAAACAATTAGTCTTTTTTTTTTCTTTCCTGTTTTCAAATCATCTGAATGTCAGGTTGATCATCGGGACACTGATCTCTCCGAAAGCCGCTCTTTGGTTTCTTGATATGCTGCAAACTTCTCCCGAAACTCGTGAAGGAAGTTGTATTGCTATAAGAGGCCATAAAGAAGCATAATTAACAACTTAGTTGAATGGTTAAGGGAAGTGATGTATCTAGGTTTTCAGATGTTGCCTCTTCTTCTTCTTCTTCTTCTTTGGATTTTTACGGCAGTTGGCATCCATTGAGTTGCATTACTGCCATAGATGTTGCCTCTTACCTTGACAGTCTGAATGGCTCCACCTCCTCTCAGCTCCCTCAGGATTTCCAGCGCGGCACTGGGTGTGATGGAGACAGAGAGCTGCAGCAGCAAACATGCCGCAACTGTGACAATGAAACACAAGTTAAACTCCTAATCACACACACACGGGACTAACATTAATCATGACACTGCGCTCATTTTGAACATTTGATACTTGCTTAGTCCTGAGCGTCCCAGACCTCCATAACAACTGTGGAGGAATACAAGCACAATTAGAATCTGCTGTTCTTCTAATGGTCATGTAATATATATATGTATATGTATCACATACGTGCTATCTCTTATGCTGACCAAGGCATTTATTCAATAAAAAAATAAAGTAAAAATACTAATATTGTGAAATATTTTAAAATGTAATTTATTCCTATGATATACATGATCCTTCAGAAATCATTTAAATATGCTAATTTGCTCAAGAAATATTTTTTTATCAATCAATGTTGACCTGCTAAATATTTGTGTAAACTGACATTTGTGACATTCTTTGATGACTAGAAAGTTCAAAAGAACAGCATTTATCTTAACATTATAAATGTCTTTACTATCACTTTTCACATCGATTCATCCTTGCTGAATAAAAGTATTAATTTCTCTTAAAAAAATAATACCGATTAATATTAATACATGTACCTGTCCTAAAACTAAATTTAAAATAAAGTTAGCTTAAAACTAAAAGGTTTGATATACCGTATAGAAAATAGATTTTTCTGTTAAATTTGTTATAAAGGAAAAATGATCACATTTCTTCTCCCTGGAAGAGGAAGAATGTCACAGAATGCAGTAACTGAGAGTGTTTTATTCTTACTGTATGACAGTCTTGCGTTGATTCTGCAGGCAGTCGTGCAGTTCCTCCAGGATGCAGCAGCACTGAGGAAGCTCTGGAGCGCATCCGTCCGGGAAGGGGAGGTGGTGCACTCTGAGCCCACTCTGAGAATAAACCTCTAACAGACATGGCACTCTGTAGCGCACCAGCTCTCCTCTGGTGCAGAATACAAACACGTCCTCCACACCCTGATCACACATCTCAGCTACACACAAACACAAACCACAGATAAATCACAGTTATCCTATCCCCCATGTACACACTGCACACAACGCATACTTTAAACTGGTGCTTTCAACTGGTTGTGCTTCAGAACATCAAGTGGTGAACAAAATTGTTTATTGTACAAAAGTAAAGAAAAATATCCTAACATTGAAATGAATTAATATTACCACGAACAGGCCTTGCTATATGCAATGGCATATGGCATAGCATAGGCTGAATAAGAAAATTAGCCTCTTGAATTTTGGGGGTTTGAAACAAACCATATGCAAATGAACTAGCATGAAACAGAAATTGTGATCATATTTTCTCCCCTATTGCGACGTATATAGTGAATCGGCATTTTAACGGAGAACAAAAAGTAGGACGAGACTTGATTTTGTCACCAGGGATTGATTGGATCATTGTCGTTTGCTAATTGCAAACTGATCAGTATAGACTTGCAACCAATCAGTCGAGAACCACTGGATTAGACCATTACTGTGTGTGTGTGTGTTTGTGTCAGCTAGACTCACCAACATCTTTCTGCAGGTTCCTTCTGATTTCTTTATATCTGCAACCTGAAATGAGCAGAAATTAGGGCTGTGCAATCAATCAAAATAAAACCGAAACGTTGTGGCTTTTCAAAATCGATTTTCAAATCACAAAGGCTGCAGTTTAATTAAATATGTGCGCTGTGTGTTTTAGAGTGAAGCACTGTGCTCATTTACACTCATGGCCAAAAGTTTCGGCAGTGTCATAAATTTGGTGTTTTGCAAAGTTTGCTGCTTCGATTGTTGTGGTGTTGATTCACATTGTTTCTAGATTAGTGTGCAGAGAGATCAGATGCATTTTAAATAATTGAAAAAAGCTTCATTGGCCCCAAAAAAGTACCCTTTTTTTTTGGACCTGCACAAAATGACCAGCTAAAACCATTTCACTAATCATATCATCAGCAAATCACTCTATTATTCTTTTATATATATATATATATATATATATATATATATATATATTAAAGAATATATAGCCTATATATATATATCAAATATTTTTTGTGAGTTTTTGCATAATATACAAACCCCAAAAATGCAAGAGCAACCAAAAATCACTTTGGCAACCGTAATAAATCGAACAAAAAAATAAAACCATGCATGCCTTCCAGTTGTATGACATAAAGCAATTCAATTCAAACCAAGCTTTGAAGCATGGAGATTCCTAAGATTTTGTTTTAGCAAGAATCATGGCCATCATTAGAGGTCATTGCTGAAAGCTTGAAAGAGTTTTTAATGTCCCAGAGGATCACAAAATTCCTAGGGCATGATCTGGCTTGATTCCTTCCGAGAAATCAATCCAGATCATGGGTTAAAAATCAAAAATAACAGTCCAAAAGTTAAACAGTTTGGAACAAAACCAAAACATGTGTTACAAGGAGCCGCCTTCTTTACATCTGTCACAAACTGGAGAAATAGACTGTATTACTCCAAAAAATAAATTGAGTAACATATATAATTCTATGTACCACATTTATAAATTTTACTAAGACTTTCATACTAAGTTTTGTCAGACACTTTTTCATCAAAGAAGGATTTGGCCCAGAAGCTGATATCCAGCATGCCAGAGCGAATTGCAGAGGTTATGAAGAAGGGTCAACACTGTAAAAATGGACTCTGCTGCATACATTGAATATTTTTGCCAATAAAATCCTTTAAAACCTATGAAATGCTTATCATTGGTTTCCAGTATATTATAGAAACGTGAGAAACATTTTTTACAAATACTGAAGCAGCAAACTTTGTGAAACACAAAATTTATGTCACTGCTAATACTTTTGCCCATGACTATGATTTTACACAAGTACCTCATGGTCTCGTGTTTTTAGTTTGGTACAGTACAGTTGTACAGTAAAATAATAATCATTAGTATTTTTCTTAAATAGTATTTTCTTTAAAAATGAAATATTACATTAGTAATTTTTGAATTTAGTAATAATTATTATTATTTTATAGTCATGTTGATAAATAATCACACATTTTTGGGCCAAATTGTGCATCCCTAAAAAACAAGCGAATCAAACCTGGAGCTTTTTTAATTATTTTTTTTTAATAGCAATTTTTATTAGAAAAAAAAAATGCATTTAGATTTTTCCCCAAAATCATGCAGCTCTAGTAGAAATTGCCTCATTTATGGAATGAGCACACACAGAGACATTCATTTATCAATTAATTTTACCAGGTAAGGAACAGATGCCAAGAGACTGGGAACACTCCACCATGGACAGAGACAACCTGCAAAGCGCGCGCGCGCACACACACACACACACACACACACACACACACACACGCACGCACAATCAGTTAAAATCTATGTTGAGTATGTAAATGCAAAATTGCACATGTATATGTTGCTCACCATGAGATCTGAAGAGGTGTGGCTTCCTCTTCACCAAAATCCTCTTCGTCAGATGAATCAAACTCACTTGTCCTCATTTCCGCAGTCTACCATGCACATAAACGTAATGACACCAAGACCATTAATCAACCGAGACACTGACATCCAAACAACCGATATCCAAAACAGCAGCTTGTTCTGATGGATGTGCTTATCATGTGGGAAAGGAACTGAGATGTTCATATGAAAATTCAGATGTTTTTAGTGTAAATGTATTAGCAATAATAGTATAACATGCTGGGTGACATTAAAAGGTGTATATATGCAGTAATATTCTCGTTTGCACAACTAATTATATTCTCGCACTCGACAGCTCGAAGTTTTCATCCGAAGCATTAACTTAATAACCACATAGTAACACAAAGTTGTAAGCGAGAGAGAGAATCAACAATCGAACTCACCGAGAAACAACACTCCC